TGCTTTTGCCCCCCAGGCCGGACCGGACACCTCTGCTTGGAAGGTACCCACAGAGGCGGAGCTCCATGCCCCTGTGCCCACGTCAGCCCCGGCCCAGTGTCCTGGCAGCCTCTGACCCCCGCCCACCCCCCTGGCTCTCTCCCAGGCTGTCCTCCGGGGATGTTTGGTGCCAATTGCTCCCAACCGTGCCAGTGTGGTTTTGGAGAGAGGTGCCACCCAGAGACGGGGGCCTGTGTGTGTCCTCCGGGGCACAGCGGTGCCCCCTGCAGGATCGGTGAGTTCTCCTCTGGGCCCTGACTATCCCCAGGCAACAAGGACGCATGGGCACCTGCCTGGGCACCTGCCGGGATCTTGGCCCCTCACCTGGGAGTCTCTGCCGTGCATGCCCCCCACGCTCACCAGCAGAGCCGAGACCCTGTTCTGAATGACCGCCCCTACCCACCAGGGAGCCAGGAGCCCTTCACCATGATGCCTACCTTTCCAGTGCCCTACAACTCACTGGGGGCCGTGATTGGCATCGCCGTGCTGGGGTCCCTGGTGGTGGCCCTGGTGGCACTGTTCATCGGCTACCGCCGCTGGCAAAAAGGCAAGCAGCACCAGCACCTGGCGGTGGCGTACAGCAGCGGGCGGCTGGATGGCTCCGAGTACGTCATGCCAGGTGAGCACGGGGGGGTGGGGGGGGCAGGGGGCACCTCCCAGGAGCTGGCTCGTAGGCACACGGCTCCTGGCTCCCTCCCCGGACCGGGACCTGGGAAGTGAGGAGCTGGAGGAGGAAGGGACGTCGGAGGGGCTGGTTCCTGGTCTCTGGGGTCAGAATAGCATTCCTGGGCCCAGGCCTGTCCCCGACGGGGGTCACCCCGCGCCCGTGTCTGTTCCTGCAGATATCCCTCTGAGCTACAGCCACTACTACTCCAACCCCAGCTACCACACCCTGTCCCAGTGCTCACCCCACCCTCCGCCCCCCAACAAGGTCAGTGCTGCCTGCGGGGGGGTCCCTGTGGGGAGAGGCAAACGCCTGCTTCTCTGGAAAGCTCCATCCCTGCCCCTCCCCCGGCAGGCTCCCGGCAGTCAGCTCTTTGCCAGCCTGCAGGCCCCCGAGCGGCCAGGTGGAGCCCACGGGCCCGATAACCACACCACGCTGCCCGCCGACTGGAAGCACCTGGACAGGGGTAGGCGCCGGGCCCCTGGGGAGGGCGGGGGGTGCAGGCGCCTCTGCGGGAGGGGTGCGGGGCACAGGGTGTGACTATGGGCTGCTTCCTCCTCCTCCTCCTCCTCAGGTAGCAGCCGCTTGGACCGAAGCTACAGCTGTAGCTACGGCAACAGTAATGGCCGGGGCCCAGGCCCATTCCACGGTAAAGGTACAGCACGGGGGTGCGGGGGGAGGGGGAGGGGCTGCGCGGGAGCTGGTTTAGGAGCCAGCGCCTCCCCTGAGCTGGAATGCTCCCCCCCTCAGGGCCCATCTCTGAAGACGGGCTGGGGGCCAGCATGGCCTCCCTGAGCAGCGAGAACCCCTACGCCACCATCCGGGACCTGCCCAGCCTGCTGGGGGGCCCCCGGGAGAGCAGCTACGTGGAAATGAAAGGCCCCCCCTCAGGATCGCCCCACCGGCAGCCTCCCCAGCTCCCGGCCAGCCAGAGGCCGCGGAACCCCCACCCCCAGCCACAGCCACAGCCGCAGCCGCAGCGGGACAGCGGGACCTACGAGCAGCCCAGTGCCCTGTCCCACGGTGAGCCCCCCCCACCCGCTGGGCCCAGTGCCCTGTCCCACGGTGAGCCCCCCCCACCCGCTGGGCCCAGTGCCCTGCCCCCCCCACCCGCTGGGCCCAGTGCCCTGCCCCCCCCCCACCCGCTGGGCCCAGTGCCCTGCCCCCCCTCCCCGCTGGGCCCAGTGCCCTGGCCCCCCCACCCGCTGGGCCCAGTGCCCTGCCCCCCTCCCCTCCCCGCTGGGCCCAGTGCTCTGCCCCCCTCCTCCCCGCTGGGCCCAGTGCTCTGCCCCCCTCCTCCCCGCTGGGCCCAGTGCTCTGTCCCACGGTGAGCCCCCCCCACCCGCTGGGCCCAGTGCCCTGCCCCCCTCCCCGCTGGGCCCAGTGCCCTGCCCCCCTCCTCCCCGCTGGGCCCAGTGCTCTGCCCCCCTCCTCCCTGCTGGGCCCAGTGCCCTGACCCCCTCCTCCCTGCTGGGCCCAGTGCCCTGACCCCCTCCTCCCAGCTGGGCCCAGTGCCCTGCCCCCCTCCCCTCCCCGCTGGGCCCAGTGCCCTGCCCCACGGTGAGCCCCCCCCCACCCGCTGGGCCCAGTGCCCTGCCCCCCTCCTCCCCGCTGGGCCCAGTGCTCCGCCCCCCTCCTCCCTGCTGGGCCCAGTGCTCCGCCCCCCTCCTCCCTGCTGGGCCCAGTGCCCTGCCCCCCTCCCCTCCCCGCTGGGCCCAGTGCCCTGCCCCACTGTGAGCCCCCTTTCCGCTGGGCCAGGGGCCGGGGGTGGGAGGGAGAAGTGTCAGGGAGGAGGAAGGGTCGGAGAAAGAGAACATGGAGGTCGCATGCTGAGGCAGCAGGAGCAAGGCCGTGGGGTCCGAAGTGGGCCCAGACCAGCAGGATGCTGGGACTCACATGGCTGCTTAGAGCGAGCGGTGGGACCCTCCTCACCGGGCTGAGGATTGACATGGCGGTTGTGCAGCACCTGGCTATCGTGTGGTGTTGGTCCCCAGAAAAGTGTGGAACCGGGCCGGGGGCGAGCATGGGGGAGGGAGGGCACATGGGCAGGTGACAGTGTCCTCATGTCCTGTGAGGGGGCAGGTCAGGGTGGCCTCCCCCACAGGCAGCTGAGACGCTGCACAAACAGCCCTGTAGCCAGGCTCCAGCTCTGCTTCGGGCGGAGGAGGCTGGAGAGGGGAGAGGGAGAGGAGGCAGAGGGGAGCAGCCACCTCCTCCTCCTCATCCTGTCCCTTCTCTGTCTCCAGACCCGGACTCCATGGGCTCCCAGCACCCCCAGCCTCTCGGCCCGACCTCCGGCCACTACGACTCGCCCAAGAACAGCCACATCCCCGGACACTATGATTTGCCTCCCGTCCGGCACCCCCCTTCCCCCCCGCCTCAGCCCCGGGACCACTGAGGGGCCGGGATGGCGTGCGGAGGCCAGCACACCTGTTCTTGCTGCCCAGGGCTGGGGACAGAGCCGGCCGAAGCCTGCCAGGAGCAGGAGGGGCCTGGCAGGCCGTGACCGTGAACGTGGTTATGAACAGAGTGAACGGAGGACGTGAACGGCGAGGGGGAGCCTGGCTCCCGCTCCCACCGGGACGCTGGTTGGCAGGAAGCCTGCCTTCCCTTCCCCCGCCCACTGCGCCCCCGGCTGCCAGGGCCCGTGCACGGAGACTGGCGGGCTGAGCATGGCAACTGACTTCATATCGATGTAAAAAACGTATACTGAGCACCTTTTCGCTGCTCTCCAGGCTGGGCTCTGTGTATGTGTGAGGTTTTGTGTGTGTGTGAGTGGGGGGGGGGGGGGTTCAGAGGGAAATCAGGGGTAGGCCTTCTCCTGTGGTGCTCACCACTTAGTAGAGAGGCAGAGAGGCAGCCCCAAACCAGTTAACTAGCAACAGTCTCCTCACTGGCCCCTGCATCCACTTAGGGCCCCGGCCAGCCAGCTGCTCCACATACAAGCTGATCAGGTGGCCCCTGGTTCCTGGCCAGAGTCAGCTCAGAGGTCTGAGGGAAAGGCTGTGCCGCTTTCGCGGCCGCTCTGCCTCAGTGGCACCGGCTCCCAGTCCTCCCACCAGCCATACTTCTTGCAGGGACTTCACGTCTGGGGTGCCCTTCTCCCCCCGTCCCCTGTGGACCTCTGTTTGCTCTCACAGCCCCTGCTCTGGGAAGCGCCCTCTTTAAGGTCACTGGTAGCAGCTGCAGGCACCCAGCAGGTGCCTGCAGGAGGCCTGCTGGGCACCAGGCTCCTCTGTGATGTGTTGTTTATGCGATTCTTTGAGTGATTTCTGCTCCTCCCGCCAGTCTGTAAGTCCCCTGCGTTTATGCTCAACATCGGTTCCCCTTGGCACATAGTAGGCACTCGATGACTGTTCCCTGAAAGACTGAGTGGCTGAGTGAGTTAAAATATCAGTACCTGTGGGAAGTGCTCGGACAGGGGAAATGGCGTGCTCTGAGTTAATAGTCTGCACAGTGGGGAGCCTACCCCAGACTGGCATCTCCACAGGGGACCTGCACCCCGGCTGAGAGGTGGGCAGGGCTGGGAGTGGCACAGGGGCAGTGGCACTGAGTGGGGTGGGGTGGGGGCGGCTGGAGGCAGGCAGGCAGGCAGACGGGAGAGGATATACTCAAGTGAGGGTCCAGCAGGCTACCTGAGCACTTAGAACTCAAGATTTCTAAAAGCATTGCTAGACTCATGAACTCATCAGCAGATCAGCTGCGTTCCCAGGCCTGGAGGAGGCCGGACAGGTGCTGTCTGTGGAGGACAGGATCCCAGCTCCACCCCAGCTCACTGTGGTCTCTCTGGGCCTTTCCACCAGGAGCCCCTCCTGACAGGCCAGGGGGGCAGACCCAGAGAGAGGATCTGCCCCACCGGGCTCTCCCCGGATTCCTCAGACACCCCCTTCCTGAGAGGCTGAGCCAGCTCCGCTTTCTTGGGCTCAGATTCCTGGGGGACTTTGGATGGCTGGAAGTGACGCCGGCCTTAGCCCCCACCCCTCGCTCTGGTCACATCTAGCCCCGTCCCCTCCGCCCCGGCTCTTCCTGGGTGGTGGGGGAACCTTGGCTCCAGGGTTCGCAGGGCCGGTCCCTCTAGGGCTCACCTGCCCTCTAGGATCTCACTTGCCACCCAGGTCCTGCCGCTCCTCCCCCTTACCCCCTCCCCCGCCGCCTGCGGCTGCGCCCCTCCCAGCAGCGCCCTCTGGTGGCCACACGCAGCACACACTGCGGGTGCCCCTTCCCGCGGGCGGCCGCCCCGCCGGCGTCGTTGTGGTTGCCATGGAGAGGGACGCGGAAGCCGCGCCGCTGCCGGGCTGGTGGGCGCGGAGCAGAGACCCCTGAGCCGGCCGATCGCCTGCAGAGTCACCGCTCACCCTGCTTCCTCGCCCGCGGGAGGGTCCCAGGGTCTGTCCGGCATGTCTGTCGAGTCGGGCACGCAGGGCGCCTCCCCCAGGCCCACGCGTTCCGGGATCCAGAAGTCGTCGGGCACAGTGACCAAGAAGGGGGATCGCGCGGCCAAGGAGAAGCCCACGACGACAGTGCTGCTGCCGGTGGGCGAGGAGGAGCCCAAAAACCCCGGTAGGCTGGCGGCGGGGCTGGGGGACCGGGCCCGAGGCTGTGCGGCTCCGATCGGCCGGCCAGGCTGGAGGGTGCACTGTGGTGCCGGGCACCGAACTGGAGAGCTGGGCGGGGCAGACAGGCGATCCGGGAAATAATAATAGGACTTCTGGTGCAGAGAAGTGCTGTAGGGAAAGGACTCCACCCGCTGACGTCCAGCGTGTGAAGGTGCCGGCTCCTGGCACGTGCAGGAGTGTGGTAAGTGGTCACCGGCATGAAGCGTGTGGCCTCGGGCACGGCGCTTCCCTGTGGGATGGAGATGTGCCATGCGTGCCCTGCCTATGGAGGTGGAGACGTGCTTTGTAGACTGCAAACTCATTGGTTCACTCAGCAAGCATGCACTGCACACCCACTGTGTGCCCAGCTCGCCGCTCCGTCCTGGAATGTGGATCCCAGTTTGACTCACATCACAGTTCTTGAATCTCAGCTTGGCAGAGGTGTGAACGGAACTGACCTTAAAGAGCCCACACTCTGCGGTGCTGACAAAGACAATAAGCTGTGATGGGATGTGTGAGAAAAGAAGGGCCAGGGAAGGATGGGAGGCGGTGTGTGTGTGTGTGTGTGTGTGTGTGTGTGTGTGGACTACCAGAAGGTGCCTGCTCTTCAGCCAGAAGCAACACGGAGAGAAAGATGGGCAGTCCGCATGCATGGAATTTATGTTCTCTGCGATAAAAACAAAACAAAAAACACACGAAAAGTCTAGGTGGGAGTGTGGCTCTGTGTGTTGCAAGTGATAGAACCCCAGCCCAAGTTAATGGTCCACAAAGGGGAACTTATTGGAAGGCTTCTTTTTTATTTTTTTATTTTTATATTTTATTGACTTTTTTTTTACAGAGAGGAAGGTAGAGAGATAGTTAGAAACACCGATGAGCCAAAACCAGTTTGGCTCAGTGGATAGAGTGTCGGCCTGCGGACTGAGGGGTCCCAGGTTCGATTCCGGTCAAGGGCATGTACCTTGGTTGCGGGCACATCCCCGGTAAGAGGTGTGCAAGAGGCAACTGGTCGATGATTCTCTCTCATCGCTGTTTCTAACTCTCTATCCCTTTCTCTTCCTCTCTGTAAAAAATCAATAAAATATATATTTTTAAAAAAGAAAAGAAACACCCATGAGAGAGAAACATCTATCAGCTTGTCAGTGAGGATGTGCCCACAACCAAGGTACATGCCCTTGACTGGAATCGAACCTGGGACCCCTCAGTCCACAGAATGACGCTCTACCCACTGAGCCAAACCGGCTTCGGTGGGTCGGACTTTGTTAAACGTCTGTAAGACCGTCCACCGCAGAGGGGGCCTCCCCGCCCCTGAGGCCGAGCCCCCTGCGCTGCCCCCTGTCCGCCGCCCGCAGAGGAGTACCAGTGCACCGGGTTCCTGGAGACCGACTTCGCCGAGCTCTGCACCCGCCTGGGCTACGCCGACTTCCCCAAAGTGGTCACCCGGCCCCGCCCGCACCCCACCTTTGTCCCCTCCTCCTCGGTGTCGGAGAAGCCGGTGGGTGAGTGACTGGAGCTGGGTGCCGCCGGGGCCACCTCAGCCACCTCAGCCTCCCCCTGCACCGGGGGCTGCATGGCGGGGGTGGGGGGCAGGGCAGGGGGTGTAAGTGGGGGGGGGGCTTCAGGGGGCAGGTGCAGGGGAAATCTCCCTCCAAACCTGGCAGACCGCAGCCCGGCCCCAGCGGCGGAGGCCCCGGCCAGCATCTCCCACACCTCCCCCCGCCCCCGGCTCCTCGCCTCTTCCCCCCAGATGACCAGCGGCCCTCAGGCTCCTGCAGCCTCAACAGCCTGGAGAGCAAGTACGTGTTCTTCCGGCCCACCATCCAGGTGGAACTGGAGCCCGAGGACAAGACCGTGAAGGAAATCTACATCCGCGGTGGGCGCCCTCCCCTCCCCCCTTCCTCCCGGCCCCCCTCCCTCCTCCCTCTCGGCCCCCCACCAGCCCCGCCCGGGCCTGAGGCCCCGCCCTTCCCTCCCCTCCTAGGCTGGAAGGTGGAGGAGAGGATCCTGGGCATCTTCTCCAAGTGCCTGCCCTCCCTCAACCAGCTGCAGTCCATCAAGTGAGGGAAGGGGGTGCTCAGAGGAAGGAAGGGAAGAGACAGGGAGGATCCTGGGGAGGTGGGGGAGGAGGAGGGGTGGCAGGGAGGAGGGGGTGGGAAGCAGGATGCTCCAGCTGCGTTCCTCGCCTCCACCCACAGCTTTTGGAAGGTGGGGCTGACGGATACGACCCTGGCCACGTTCATCGCCCTGCTGTCTCTCTGCTCACCCACACTCAGGTCAGAGGGGCAGTTTGGGGAGGGAGGGCAGCGGCAGGTCCCCGTTCCCAGGGCCCGGGGCTGGCACCCCTGGGAGACAGTGCGGCTGATGCCCGCTGGGTTTGAAGCTCCTGCCTGACAAGAAGCAGAGCCCTCTTCCTGCCTCTGCCAGCGCCTGCAGAGCTGCCCTCTGAGGCCTCGGCCCCTCGCCTGCCTCTTCATCGGCCCTCCCACCGCGCTCCCCGGGAGGGTTTGCTCCAGCCTGGGGCCTGGCGCTGTGCTCAGGGCTGGTTCTCACCCTCCAGGACCGGGCTGTCCAGGGAGGGAGGGGGAAGGACCGAGGAGCAGATGCTGCAGCGCTGCGGGGGGGGGGGGGGGGGGCGGACAGTGGGGGTGAAAGAGTGGTCCCTGGGGGGAGGGAGGGGGAGTAGAGAGGTAGTGCTGCCTCATGGGAGGCAGTTTTTTAAAATATGTTTTATTGATTTTTCACAGAGAGGAAGGGAGAGGGACAGAGAGCTAGAAACATAGATGAGAGAGAAACATCAACCAGCTGCCTCCTGCACACCTCCTACTGGGATGTGCCCGAAACCAAGGTACATGCCCTTGACTGGAATTGAACCTGGGACCTTCCAGTCCGCAGGCCGACACTCTATTTACTGAGCCAAATCGGTTTCGGCAAGGGAGACAATTTTTAAATAGAGACGCTTCTGGTCATTCATTTGCATTGTGACTGGGGAAAAGTCCTCTGTCCTCGCAGCACTGACGGAGAAACTGCTGCCTTGTGGACAGGATACATATTCGTTATTTATTGATAGGCTACAAATTCAGAACAAATCACCTCTGCATTTAGGGGCGCAAAGCAACAAGCTTCTCGCAGTGCCCGCGGAGTAAATGGAGGCGGGTGTGAGTGAGGCCGGGGCTGCTGGCAGCTCCCCCGGGCGTGTCCGCCCCAAGCCCCTCCTGGGCGGGCTGAGAGCCCTCACCACCGGGCAGCTCCGCGACCCAGAGAGTGCTCAGGGTGGCAGCCCTGGAAGCTGACCGTGGGCGTGACCTCCCCTCCCTTCTGCCACATCCCATCGGTCAGGTGTGAGCCACCAGGCCCAGCCGCCCTCCCGGGAAGGGGGTTGATCCTACAGGGCATAGCGGCACTGGGAAGAGGGGCCCTCGGGTTGTTCTAGAGGCCCCCTCACCATAGATCAATAATTCTGGGGAAAGCCGAAGCCGGTTTGGCTCAGTGGATAGAGCGTCCGCCTGTGGACTGAAGGGTCCCAGGTTCGATTCCGGTCAAGGGCATGTACCTTGGTTGCAGGCATATCCCCGGTGGAGGGTGTGCAAGAGGCAGCTGATCGACGTCTCTCTCTTATCGATGTTTCTAACTCTCTCTCTCTCTCTTCCTCTCTGTAAAAAATCAATAAAATATATTACAAAAAACAATTCTGGGGAGCTACCCCTCCCCGTGGCCACACGTCTGGGTTTTCAGTCTGGAGGATTAAATACAAGTTAGTTCTCCTGTAGTTTCTGAAATTGGGATCCGTCCGTTAACTCTGTTTCCAAGCTGCTCCTCAGAGCCCCCCACTTCCTCTTCGTCCCTTCCTCCCCCGGGTCTCAGGGGCGCCCCCCGGTGCTCAGACCGACTCCGCCCTCAGGAAGGTGTCCCTGGAGGCCAACCCGCTGCCGGAGCAGTCCTACCACAAGCTCATGGGGCTGGACAGCACGTGAGTCCCCGTCCCGCCCGCCTGCCCCCGCGCCAAGCCCTCCTGGTCCCCGCCCTTCCCTGCCCCCCTGCGCCCCCCCAGGCACCCTCCATGCCTGCCCCCCGGACTTCAGACCCGGGCCCCCGAGTTCCCTGAGAGCCGGTGCGCGCCCAGCCCCGGCTCCTCCGCCCAGGATCACGCACCTGTCCCTGCGGAACAACAACATCGACGACGAGGGCGCGCGGCTGCTGGGCCAGGCGCTGTCCACGCTGCACACTTGCAACCGCACCCTGGTCTCCCTCAACCTGGGCTTCAACCACATCGGGGACGAGGGCGCCGGCTACATCGCGGACGTGCGTGCCCGGGAGGGAGACGGGAGGCTTGGGGGGGGGGTGCCCTCCGGCCGATGGTCACACCCCTCCCCGCCCCCCAGGGCCTGCGGCTGAACCGCTCTCTGCTGTGGCTGTCCCTGGCCCACAACCGCATCCAGGACAAAGGCGCCCTGAAGCTGGCCGAGGTGGGCGGGCTGCGGGCTGGATGAGTGGGTGGCCTCCTGGGTGAGTGGGTGGGCTCCCCGGGGTCTGACAGCTGAGCCTGGGCCCAGGTCCTGCAGCCCTTCGAGCTGACACACACCGAGGTGGTGGAGCGCCGGCGCCTCCTGCTGGAGAAGGGCACCCAGGAGCGCCTGCGGTCGGTGAGCCGCACCCCAGCCCCGCCGTCTCTCAGCTCCCGGGCCCTGTCCCCGTCCATCCGTCTTCCGTCCTGACTGTCCCCTGCCCAGCTTCTGCGCTGGCCCCGCACACATGCGGGCTGTCCCTGCGGAATCCCCCCGTGGGCAGGACGTATTGGTTAAGAGAAAGGAGTAGCCCTGGCCAGGGTGGCTCCCTTGGTTGGAGCATCTTCCCGCACACCCAAAGGTCATGGGTTCAATTCCCGGTCATGGTGGGTGCAGTAGGGAACGGATGGCTGTTTCTCTCGCTCCCTTCCTCTCTCTAAAAATCAATAAAAACACATCCTCGGGTGAGGATGTTGGAGAAAGGAGTAGATTTAGACTGCTAGCACCCAAAATCCCTTCACTCCCAGGGTTGCAGAGAGGATTAAATGCATGTGAAACACGGGAGCAATGAGAGTCCCCCGGGGCCCTCGGCCATTTCTCCCCCACAGCACCGCCGTCCCCGGGAGTCCCAGAGGCGCTGTGCTGGCGCGCAGGCAGGCAGCGGGGGTTAGGGTGCTGCCTGTCGGACCCCCCTCCCCCCGCTGGGGAAGGCCACCGGCGCCTGCCTCCATCCCCTCCCCTTTGTGAGCACAGCCTTCCTCTTCTCGGCATGGGGAATCCAAAACGGAGCGAGAGAAGATCCAGCTGATGGGAGTCAGCAGCGTGGCGCTGATGGACAAGGCGGACAAGATGATGGCAGTGAAGACCTCGAAGGGCCTGATCAAGAAAAAGGAGAAGGCAGCGGTGGGTGCGAGAGAGAGCCTCGGGCCGTCTGGAGGGGAGCCGGAGGAAGGGGAGCTTCGAGGTGGGGGCAGGTGGAGCGGGAGGGAAGGAGGCCTTCAAGGCCGTCTCAGGCCCGGTCCGAGCACAGACCTCCCCCCAGCCGCTCCCCGCCCCCGAGGGAGGGAGGACTTCCCTCTGTCGTCCTCCGTCCTTCACAGGAAGTGGTGAAGAAGGAGGAGAAGTCGGGGTCCGGACAGTCCCCCATCCCAGGAAACCTCAAGAAGGAAGAGGCCCCCAAGACAAGCAAGGGGAGTGCGTGCTGGGCCCCGCAGCGGGCGGGACGCGGGAGGGATGGGCCGGCCTTCGGGGCGCCCTCCTGGCCAGTCCGCTGCCCCTCGGGAGATGGCGTGGGAAGCCCCGCCTCGCCCCACATCCTGACCCCTGCGCCCCGGTTCCCTGGGCAGACCCCTGGCCTTGCCCTGAGAAGAGGGCCCCCTCGGCTCTGTTTCTGTGGCACCCAAACCCGGTTGGAGGGGGGGCCTTCCTGGCCCAGCCCCTCTCTGGGGGGGATCCGGGTGGTAACGGAGGGCTGCACGGCGCACTCCGACCCTCTTCCCGCCCCAGAGGTGACCATCCCCGAGCAGCAGAAGCCGACCAAGGGGAAAGGCACCAAGACGGGGAGCAAAGAGAAGCGCAGCACCCTCCTGGAGTCCGAGGTGGGCTCGGGGGAGGCGGGGGTGTGTGTGTGGACGGGACACGTCCCAGGAGACCCCCGAATGCCCTGTGCCATGGCCGCGGCCGCTTCCACTGGACACCCACCCCAGCCTGGGCTTGCTGGGGGAGAGCAGGATGCCCTCCCCTTCTTCTTCTTTTTTTTTTTTTTAAATATATATTTTATTGATATTTTACAGAGAGGGAGAGAGTTATAGAGTCAGAAACATCGATGAGAGAGAAACATCGATCAGCTGCCTCCTGCACACCCCCCACTGGGGATGCGCCCGCAACCAAGATACATGCCCCCGACTGGAATCGAACCCGGGACCCCTCAGTCCGCAGGCCGATGCTCTATCCACTGAGCCAAACCGGTTTCGGACCCCCCCCCCCCCCTTTCTTTTTCCTTGCTTATTAGGAGCTCACACATTTGACCCCGTCTCCAGTCAGTTTGCTCCCCAAAAGGCCACTGATGTAACCATCACCACCTCCACCGTTGGCTGGCACAGCTGCCCTGGGAACGGGGCATCTCAGAGTCATTCCCCCCCCCCCCCCCCCCCCCCCCCACACACACAAACTGTGTGTGAGGCTCCTCCAGACCCTCTCCTTTGCCCTGGGGCCTCCCTTCCCCTTCCCGCTGGGACCAGTCTGCTCCTTGCTTCCTGGACTGTCGCCGATGAGCTCCCACCTGCCAGCCTCCAGCCCTCCTCTCCGAGGCTCCGTCCACCAGGAGGCCTTCCCTTTAGGGGTCCTCCTGGCATCCGGGACAAGACCTCACAAAAGGGGGCGGTCAGGCAGGAGGAGTGAGGCTGCCTCGCACTCCGCTGTCCGTCTTGTCCAGGCTGCTCTCTCTCACCGGGACTGAGGCACTCTCTCCTGATCCTCTCTCCACCCGGCCCTCCATCATTGCCCTCGGAGCACTAGCCCTTAGGAGATGGGGAAAACCCGTGTGCCCTGTCCTGCTCTCTGTGCCTCTCACCTTTGTCTGGTACCTGCTGGGCACCGTTCAGACTTCAGCTCCCAGGCCGCCTCCCTGGGAGCCGGGGCTGGTGCTCCTGCAGGACCCGGAGCTGGCCTCTGCCGCTGGCCACATCCACATCGCCATCTCCCCTCCTGCCCCCATGCCCAGGTGCCTCTTGAGGTGCATCTTTACTTTCGTGTCCCCGGCACCTAACGCTGCCTGGACCGTAGCCGGCCCTTAGAACATGCATGTCGGATGAATGAATGAACGAATGAGTGAGTGAGTGGCCTGTTGGCTAACCTCTCCGATTACCCCAGCAGCTGATCATCGAGGCTACAGAGATGGTGAACCCTCTGCTGGAGCCCGTGGAACACCGAGACGGGAAAGTGTTCATGCCTGGGAACAAGGTCCTCCTGCACCTCAACCTCATCCGTGCGTCCTCCCGCCCCCGCCCTCCTGTCTCAGGGCTGCTGGGGGCCCCCACCCTGACCCCACAGAGCGGAGCCTGGTTCTCCCCCGGCGGGAGGGACATTTGAGTGAGAGGAAGTCAGGTCCCGGCCGGGCAGTTTGAAGGGAAGGAGGGAGAGGTGGGGGCGGGGCCGGGGCAGAGAAAGGCGGAGGGCAGGCAGAGGGGGCGTCGGTCGGAGCAGTGAAGGCAGGCTGGGGAGAGGAGCCCTCTCGCGGGTGAGCTGGGAGCTGGCGTGGAGGGGGGCTGCCCCTGAGGGGGTGGAGGTGTAAGAGGCACCTTGTCGCTCCTCCCGCCAGGAAACCGCATCACGGAGGTGGGGCTGGAGGGCTTCCTCGGCGTGGCGCGCTACCAGGCCCAGCCGCAGTCCTCCAAGGCCTCCAAGAGCGCGCCCAAGGGCCCCACGGGGCTGCTCCGGCTGAACCTGGCGGTGAGTCCCCTGCGGGGCGCCCCGGCCTGTGGTTTCTGGGGTCTTTCCACCACGCACGCCCTCCCCTCCGTCCGGCTCGCTGCAAGGTTAGCAGCCCCGCAGCCCCTCGCCCGTCCTGGCCCAGGAAGCTTTTCCTCCCAGAAAACGCGTCTCCATCCCCTTTGCCAGCCGGCGGCCTTCCTCTTCCTCCTCCAGAAAAACAACTTCTCCCCGCAAAACCCCATGTACATCATGATTCAGGACCTGATGCTGCCGAGGGACCCCATCAGCAAGGCCAAGCACAGGGAGGAGGAGTCCACGGCGTCGGCCACCTAGCCGCCCCCTCGCACCTCCGGCCCGGACGCTGGTCACAGGAGCATCTCCTGTCCGGTGTGGGCTGAGCGAGATCTCCGGTCAGGTACGAAGGCCGCTGCTGTACTCTCCCCCCTTGAAGTTGTTTAAAGCTTTATTCTGGAACTACCTGGGACGTTCGGACTCTGTTCATGTCACGGCCAAACTGGCGGGATCGCTGCCGTTTGCCGGGCCTTGCTCTCCCGTTTCCTAGAGCACACGCACCTCGACGTCTGAAACCCTACACCCAAACGGTGAGGGGCCAGCGGCGTCGGGAGAGCTGGGGCCCATCGGTGTGGCTCCCTGAGCGGCCCACTGACCAGGCGGAGTGCGCACAGGGCTGGCTCCCGGGAGCCGGCAGCCACGTCACGGGAGCTTCCAGGAGTGTCCCTCCTTCCCCGCTGGGCAGGTAACCTGGCCCGTCTCTGTACGCTGTTGCCTCGACAGAGATGTGCTCTCCCTGCCGAGAACTCTCTAGTGAGGCTCAGTGGCTCTCCAGGCCTCTGGCCACCTGCTCGGCCTCTGGGCTGCTGGCCGAGCTGCAGGGAACCCAGCCATGCTTTAGGTTCCCAACACGAGCAACCACAGGTGCTTGGCGAGGATGCCACCTCGGCTGCGCCAGTTATTCCTGCCTGAATCCCTCTGCAGCAGTGGTTCTCAACCTTTCTGATGCCGCGACCCCTTAACACAGTTCCTCATGGTGACCCCCAACCATAAAATTGTTTTCGTTGCTCCTTTATAACTGTCATTTTGCTGCTGTTACGAATCGTAACGTAAATATCTGATACGCAGGCTGTCTTAGGCCACCCCTGTGAAAGGGTCGTTCGACCCCCAAAGGGGTCACGACGCACAGGTTGAGAACCGCTGCTCTGAAGTAAAGCTTCTTGCGAAGCATCTCCAGCCCCCATGCTTGTTCCTGCACTTCACCACCAATGACCTGTGCACCGAGTCTATGCCCAACCAGACCATAAGCTCCCGAGGTCAGCAGCACCTGGAATCACGACAGGTTTGGGAGGGGAAGGTGAGGGCTGAGAGAGGATCTGTCTCCAAGTCCAGCAGTGAAGGCAGACAGTGAGGGTGTGGCTGTTGGCCGTCGCTGGCCTGGGGGTGCGGAGCCTGAGACGCCCCACCGCTCCCTGAGGGCAGCTCAGGTCTTGTGACGTAGGACCCACTGCTCCTGTATGGGCGTGTGTGTGTTAATTAAGAGGGTGGAGTGTGTCTGTGTCTTGGCCATGGAGCTGTGTCGCTTAGTTTGCCCAGCTGCACTGCAGTGAGCACGCATTGGAGCTTGGGGGAGAACATGGCGGGAGCTGGGTCTGGATGTCGGATGGGGGGGACTTCCTTCTGTCCCTCTATCCATCGCAGGAGGAGGAACTTTTATCACAGCAGTTTAACAAGAATCACACACACACCACTACAATTGAAGAATATTTAACTTTTCTTAAAAAAAAAAAAATCTTAATCATGAAAGGAAGAAAATAAAAGAGTATACATTATTTTAACAACAGAACAGTCATTTCCATATCTGTATTTTATATATTATATATATATTTATATATGTATATATACACCTAGCACAGTGTGTATATTCTGCGAGTCGGTGGGGGAGTGCCGTGGACGTGGTGGCAGGGCCAGCGTGGCAGTGGCTCCTGGGACGGTCCTGGTGAATGGAGGGACTCCAGCATCTGAACCCCCTCCTCTGGGGCCACCCAGCTCAGCTCCGTACCTGATACACTGGTTTGCTGTGGGGAAGGGTGGGAAGTCCAGAGGGGAGGGTGGAGCTTGGCCCTGAGCGGCGGAGGCCGGGCCCCCGCGCTAGGTGGGCCCACAGGGGACTGGCTCAGCCTTCAGGCCCCGATCCTGGAGCTGGGCGAGACCTGGGAGACGTACGGAGCCTCTCCCCTCGGCGGCGGCCTCCGCACTCCAGGGACAGGAAGGTCCAGGTTATTTACAACAGCCACGATGCACATACAGTACATACATATTTATAGGAAACCAGGTGACAGGAGGGGCGGAGGCAACCCCCAGCCTTGGGCCCTGGGGGAAGGGGAAGAAGAAAGTGCGTTTACACAGAGGCCTTCCCGTTCACGTGCATGCCTGAGGGACCCACGCGTACCAGCGGGCCCGCGTACGTGGGACAAGGGGGCCTTAAAGACGCAGTCAGCATGCACAGGAGACCCGGGACCGGTGGCCTGAGGGAGGGGAAAGACCCTGAAACTGGTCCTGGCCAGTATGCTCAGTGGTTAGTGTTCGATTCCCGGTCACCGGGTTGCAGGTTTGATCCCCAGCCTCTGGTCAGGGTGCCTGCGAGAGGCAACCACTCGATGCCTCTCCCCCCCTCCCTCTTAAAAAAAAAATCAATGGAAAATATCCTCGGGTGAGGATGAGCAAGACACTGAAACTGGACTCCCAAGCAACATGCGTCTCCCTCGGTGCGGCTCCTGAGCTGCCTCTGCCTGCCCCGCAGGAGGCCTGGTGTCCCGCCGTGCCCGCCCGGGCCAGCCCCGCGGGGAGTGGGTGCGAGGCGGTGGTCACAGTCCTGGGGGTGAGGCCGAGTCTGCCGTGCTGTCCTCCCGGGGGCTGCTGGCGCCTGTGGGGGAGCAGGGGCCTGAGCACTGGCTGAGGGGAGCCTCCCTCAGGCTTTGCCCGGAAAGAGTGGGGGGGGGTTATCTGTACTCGGGGGCGAGGAGACCCCCCCAGAGCCCCTCTCCTCACAGCGGCGCTCCCTCCCCGGGGGGGGATTATCTGTACTCGGGGGCGAGGAGACCCCCAGAGCCCCTCTCCTCACAGCGGCGCTCCCTCCCGGGGGGGATTATCTGTACTCGGGGGCGAGGAGACCCCCAGAGCCCCTCTCCTCACAGCGGCGCTCCCTCCAGGGGGGGATTATCTGTACTCGGGGGCGAGGAGACCCCCCAGAGCCCCTCTCCTCACAGCGGCGCTCCCTCCCGGGGGGGGTTATCTGTACTCGGGGGCGAGGAGACCCCCAGAGCCCCTCTCCTCACAGCGGCGCTCCCTCCCCGGGGGGGTTATCTGTACTCGGGGGCGAGGAGACCCCCAGAGCCCCTCTCCTCACAGCGGCGCTCCCTCCCGGGGGGGCGGGGATTATCTGTACTCGGGGGCGAGGAGACCCCCGGAGCCCCTCTCCTCACAGCGGCGCTCCCTCCCGGGGGGGATTATCTGTACTCGGGGGCGAGGAGACCCCCAGAGCCCCTCTCCTCACAGCGGCGCTCCCTCCCGGGGGGGTTATCTGTACTCGGGGGCGAGGAGACCCCCAGAGCCCCTCTCCTCACAGCGGCGCTCCCTCCCCGGGGGGTTATCTGTACTCGGGGGCGAGGAGACCCCCAGAGCCCCTCTCCTCACAGCGGCGCTCCCTCCCGGGGCTGGCGGAGGAACGGCTTCACTCACTGTCCTCCGGGCCGGGCCCCGGCTCCTGGCTGTCCCCGGAGTCGGAGGCCGGGGGGTCCTTCACGGGGGGCGACAGGGAGCAGTCTGCCCACCGAGCTGCTTCTGCGTGGAGACTGCCCACGGGCGTGGTGCCGCCGGAGGACTCGCCGCCGAGGGAGCGGAGCAGCTCCCTGTAGGCCAGCTCCATGTCCTGGGGGCGGGAGGTGCGCTCAGAGGCCCTCGGGAACCGGCCTCCCGCCCAGCTCCCGCCTTCCGCCGCGGGCCTGAGCCCCAGTCCCTCACCTTGAGCCTGTGGAGCTTGAGGGTGAGCTGCTCGATGGTCTGGAAGATGATGCCCATGTCCTTGAGGGCCAGGCTGGGGGGCGAGCAGCTGGGGCGCCTCGGCTCTCCGCTGCCCCGCGGCGGCCGCGGCTCTGTCCGCCGGGCAGGGAGGCCGTCGGGCTGAGCGAGGTCTGTGCGTGCCCCCGGGGGCTCGGTGCTGGAGTCCAGGGGCCCTGCTGGCATGCTGACGTAAAAACAGTTCCCTGTGCCCATGGTGAGAGAGAGATATTAGGAGGCAAGCACAGAGCCAGTGGAAGGCCCTCGCCCTCGGCGCTCCCGCTGCCTGCTGGGCCAGGGGGCCCGTGCCAGGGCGAGCTCAGCGCATCCGCCTCCTGCTGCCCACTGCACGCCCCGAGCGCTCCCCCGAGCCTTCTAGATGGCCGTTTGCTCAGCGTGTCCCATGCCAGGGGGACACTCAGTGCTGACAGTTAAGGCGGAGGTGGCAGGGTTGTGTGTTTCACTGGGGAAATGGGGAAGGGCTCCCATTCCTAGAAGGAAGGGTAAGTGGTGGCGGCTGGTTTTAGAAACTTGTGAAAAGCCACGGGCAGTGGCCTCCCTGCCCTGCCCCTCGGCCATCTACTTCACAGTCCTGGACACACCTCCGTGCACCCTAGGGGGTCTGACAGCTGGAGGAGGACGCAGCGGGTCCCTGACCAGGCAGCAGGCGCAGGTGAACGCCAGGGAACTGGAGGCATGGAAGCCTGCTTCCACCGTGACAGAGTGGTGGCTGTGTGGGCAAGTGGCTCACTGTCAGCCCTCAGGCTGATACTGGGCACCGGGCCAGGCTTCCCGCCCACTGGTGACAGCACCAGCTGCTTGCCCTCTGCTCTGAAAGGGGGTGGCACAGGCCTGGGCCCGGGTCTGCCCTCTGGGCCCCACACCCGGCGCTGGCCTGCCTGGCTCCCAGGAGGGGTTCGTTACCCGTAGCCTTTGCTCCGCCTTCCACTTCAGGTGGCTCAGCCTCTGCCTGGCCACCCGCTGGTAGTGCAGGGACAGCCTTACTGCCTGCCACCTCAGCTGCACCGCCACCGCCACCGCCGCCACCACCACCGCCACCACAGGGAGAGCAGAAACCGAGAGGGAAGGGAAGGGAAGGAGAGGAGGAAGGAGGGGGTGGAGAGGAAGAAAAAGGGAAGAACACAGTGAGCACAAGCTCACACGTGACTCTCCCCCAGGGAGCTGCGGAGAACTTTCCCACCAATTCACCGGGAGGAGAGAGAAGGAAGGTCAGTTCCCAGAAACCCAGCAGAGAGGGCAGCCTGAAGCGGATGAGTGATAAATGCCCCTGGAGAGGGAGGACTCCCCTCCCACCCTCAGGAGCACCCTGCCCTGCGGCTCCCCTCCACCGGCTTCCCTCTCCCGCTGACCCCTCCCCTGCCTGACTCCCGCCTGGGCTCCCTGCTCTGGCCCAGCCCGTCCTGAGCACCATCCTGGCCAGGCTCAGCCGTGCTTGTCTTACAGCCGTCCCCCATGTCACGGCTGGGTGCCCTCCAGCCACCGCCTTCACTCCCCACACCCCTTACTCTCCGAGCATCTTCCCAGGCTTGTCCTCCGGCCCCTCTCTCAGCTCAGCCTCTAGTCCACGCTGCCATCTGGAGGGACTGGCCGCAAGCAGGAGTCCTTGTCTCCGCAGGCCTGAGGCTCTGAAAGAGCCACTCCTTCCCTCAGGACTGGCAGACGAGTGAGGGACACGGCAGAGACTTTTACTGACGGCTGCTCAGTGCCAGGAACGAGGCAATGCCCTCCCATTACAGAAGGAGTTCAGCGTTGCTCTGACGTCACACAGGCATGAAGTGACGGAGCTGGGCTTGGCCCTAAGCCTCTGCCCTCTGCACACTATCACACGTCCCGTTCCCCTGGGGCCCGGGCGAGCCCTGCACACGTGGCTCCGGGATGAGGGGGGGAAGGGAGCAGCCTCTGAAGACGCCTCTACCCTAGAAAAAGCGGCGTTTGTCTCCCCCGTGGGCCCCCATCTTTGTTACCTTTCCTCACAACTTTGTAACTTCCTGCTGCCTCCGTGCCCGAAGCCTCTTCCTCGGGGCTCCTGCCCAGCTCAGGAGGCTCCCAGAGCCCAGAGCTCCGCGCCCGCGGGGGCAGGCGCTCCAGAGAGCAGCGTGCGGCCTCCCGCTCGGGCTGGCTGCCCTCCGGCCCCGGGAGCGGGGCGCTCTCCCCTGCACCCCCCGGGGCGGCGCGTCCGGGGGAGCCTGGGTCCCAGGGGTGAGAGGTGATGCTGACGGCGGACGGTGTGGGCGTCAGGTCGTCCTCGGGCTCCCCCGCAGCCTGCGGCTCCCTGGGGTGACTGGGCAGCCGGCCCCGCAGGATCAGGTGCCGCAGGATCTCCACTGGAGGGAAATGGGGCCGTGGCTTCCCTGCACGGGACCAGCCAGCAGGGGGAGCGCGGGGGTGGCAGGTGGCTGACTCCCTCCCACCACAACCTGGTGAACCTGCCCCCTCCGTCACCGGTGCAGATGAGGGCTCTGGCCAGCTAGCGGGGCTGGGGAACGGGGATGACAACTGTGCCTGGGCATCACCCTGCCTCAGCACCACCAGGCAGCATCTCCAGGCAGGGGGAGGGTGCAGACAGCTGCCAGTTCACTCTGGCCAAGCTGCTGGGGACTGGGGGCCGACGGCAGGGTCCACGAGGCACTCACCATCTTCTAGGGCGGCATCGGCGAGGCCTTCCATGAACATGGGGCCTGGGAGGGGCAGGACGATGGGGTCTCTGGTCCTGCCGCCTCTGTTCTCTCCATCCAGGGATGCGGGAGGGTGGGGCAGGGCACCCAGCTCCTTGTCCTCTATGCTGCCCTCATGCGTGAGGTCCTCCAGCAGGACCGAGTGCTTCCCTTTGGCCCTCTGAGGGGGCCCCGGACCTGTGGTGGCAGAAGGTCAGCGTGAGGCAGGGAAAGGGGAGGCGCTGGGGGCTGACGCCAGGCCCAGCTTTGGGTTTAAGGGGCTGGAAACACTGGGTGATTCATTTTACAGTGTGTCCTGAGCACCTGCTATGGCTGCACTGGCCCGGCTCCTGGCATACATCAGTAAATAAAGATCGCTGCCCCGTGGAGCTTAAATTCGAGTGCAGGGACACAGAGGAATAATAAAATAAGCAAATCACCGAAATAAATCAGAAGGTGAGAGGAGCTACAGGAAAGAACAAAAACAAGAGCCGGGTATGGAGGATCAGGAGTGCTGGCTCCAGTGCTCACCAGAGGGTCGAAGGCGGCGTACTGTTGCAAAGGTCAGACTTGAAGGAGGCGAGGAAGTTAGGAGGAAAAGCATTTTAAGCAGAAAGAACAGAAGAGGGACACAGCCAGGTTGCCTACCCAGGGAGAGTCCTCTCTAAACTCAAGACCCTAAACTAATTCACATACAGACTAGCAATGAGAATTGTTTGGGCCCTCTTGCCTCTGCAATTTCATTCCAGTAATTGTCTTTGGTCCTTTGAGCTCCCACTGCCCCTGACGACCCCTGCACAATGCACTCCCTGATACACAGCGTCTGCCTGCATCTCGTTCTCCACTAGTAACCCTGGTGGGGGAAGCAGGGGGTCCTGGACCCCCAACTACCCCTCTCTTCCCCCACTGCTAAGCACTTATCACCGTGAGCCAGGGCCACAATCTGTTCAGGTGAGTGAGTCTACACTCCCTTAAGTCTGTCTCCCTTCCTCCTCCGGCTCTTTCGTCCTCCCACTATTCTTATCCAAACCTCACACCTGCGGCCCTGATGGACCCCTCCCACCCCCCACCCACCCCACCCCACCCCTTACCACCTTCCGGCCCGGACCTATAAGAAATGGGATGAGGCTGTCTCCCACAGAGACCACCCAGGGCACTTACCTCCGGGGAGCGCCTCTGGCTCTGGCTCCCTCTGAAACACTTCCGAGTCCTCCAGGTCTCTGCGGAGGAAACGGCAGGTGGTCACCGGCGGAATGCTCGCTCCCCGCCCCCCAGGAGTCCGAGGTCACGAAACTCCAGCCTGGCCTCCAGAGCGAGAACGGGCAGTGAGGGCGCAGGATCAGGAAGGAAGGTGCTGACTGGCAGCCCGGAGAGGAGGCTGGGTGCCGGCCAAGCCTCTCCTGCTCCCCATTCTACCTCCCGCCCGCGTTAGGCGCAGCCTCAGCGGACAGGGAGGGAAGGCCGGGTGTGGGAACGTCTGTCTGTGGGGCTGCCCACCCCGGGTGAAGGCTGGAGACCAGCAGAAACAGGTGTGGAGCGGGTGAGCCGGGGCCGAGGGCCAAGTACCCGCTGGACCGGGGGCTCCGGTGGGCGGGCCCCGGAGGGCCGGGCGGCGGCGGGACGGGTGCCGGGGCAGCTCCCGGGTGCCGGGTGGCGTTCCGCACGGCCTCTTCGAGGAGTTCCATCCACCTGCAGCCCCACAGGAGCAGGGAGGACGGTGAGGAACCCGATCCAGGCAAACACTATCTCACCTGAAACCCTGCCCAGGGCCTGGCGGCCTTTCCACACCCTCCCCAGGGACACACAGGGGCCTCTGGCTGCCGCTGTGCAGCTCTATTACTTCAGCCTCTGGTCGGCTCCGTGCTGCGTGTCCTATACCTGCTCTCTCCCAAGAAAACCCAACACCCACGTTTACACACGAAAACCTGGAGCCGAGAAACTGCCTGACTCAGCCTGTCTCCCCTCCTGTGCGCCCCCTCCAGCCGCCTCAGGGGTGGGAGGGGGAGCAAACATGGAAGATGTGACTTTAGACCACCCGACTGGGAAGGGAGCAAACCCCAGCGGGAAGGGGCTGGGGCCAGAGACGGGGAAGAGGAGCAAAGTGGCGGGGAGGTTGTGGGAACTCCCTCGCCCTTCCACGGCTCACAGGCAGGGAGGGTCCTACAAGCTTCTCCAAGTCCGTCTGTCTGCAACTTCCCTGCCCACTGCCTGCCCCTGCCTGCTCTGGGGCCTGCCTCTCGCCTCACTGTCCTCACACACACCGTCCTGGTCCCTAAGGGACAGCAGTCATAAGGGACCCTGGAATCCATTCTCACGTGTTCTTGTCTGAGGAAGTCAGTGCCACCAGCTCGTAGATCTGGGGTGGGCCGAGCTCGGAGGTGCAGATGATGAAGAAGGCACGCTTGTCTGTGAGAAAGCGAAGGGAGAGGCACTGCATGGGGGGCAGCAGAGGCCCGACTGCAGCCTGGGCCGGAGGCCGGAGTGCGGACTCAAAGCCCTGACCCTCACCGCGGACGAAGGATGCAGCGAGACAGACCTGGGTCATCAGAACCACTTGGGACCTACTTACTAGGGACAGCGGCGATTCTGGAACCCCTAATGGCACCTGTCATGGCCCCCGTTACACTAACAGCGCAGGCTGACGTGTGTGGTGCCTGGGTTTATAAACCTCCTCATGCCACCAGGCCTCTGATGCCCCACGTTAGGGACGAGAAAAGCAAGCCCGAGCGTGCGGCTGCCAGAGCCCTCCCCTGTGCACACGCCTTCTCACGGAAACGTCGTCTGTCCGCGGGACTCAACTCCGCTGCGGGGCTCCGGCTCTTCCCGCCACTCTGCAGCAGGAAGGCTGCTCCTACTCCTCTCTGCCCAATCCTGTTCTTCCCAGCCCTGCCTACACCCCCTCAGCCCCTGCCGGTGCTCACGCCCTCCTGGCTGTTTTCCTTCACCCTGTCCCCCACCCCCGGCATCCTGTCCCATGCTCCTTAGAAGGCTCAGGACAGGAGGAAAGGAACACAGGTGGACTGTAACTGGCCCTCATCACCCGGCCTCTCTGCACATCATGACCGTGGCCCGCGGGGACGCCCTCCGCACAGCACCTGTGGCCACGGAGCGGACGAGAACGGCGTTGAGCTTGAGCACGGGGCTGAAGGTCTGCTTGCTGTCGGAGGAGCCCACAGCCGTCTTGCTGTGGCACTTCAGCAGCAGCTTCTCGTCCTGTTTCTGCAGCAGCACCAGGAGGTCCTCCAGCAGCAGCACGTGGAGGTCTGGAGGGGGCGGTGCTTGTGAGGCATTTCCGGCTCCCGCTCCACCATCCACACACGGGCGCCAGGGGCTCCGGGATGCCTGGCCCCTTTCTTGTGGGTATCCCCCATGCTGTGCATAAGGAGTCTCAACTCGCCCAGTTATGTTTAAGCTGCTTCCCGGCTCCCTTACTGCCTCTCCAGAGAGCACCAGGCTCCAGGAGTCATGCTCCAGCCTAGCCCCCCCCAGACTTCCCATGGCCCCAGCACCCCCCTCCCCCGTACCCAGGGTCTTATCCTTGCTGATCCTCCACGTCAGGGGCCCCTCATGGATCATCTTTCTGGTGGTGAGATCCAGGCTCTGTTAAGGAGAAACCATCTGTTCATTCATTCATCCATTCAACAAGTATCAGAGAGCCTATTATGTGCCAGACACCATGCTGAGGGCTCGGGATCAGTGTGACAAGAAGTAGTCCCTGCCCTTACCCTCTTGAGAGGGACAGACAGTGAACAGGCCACTACGAAGCCACGGGCCTTGTGCTCTGCTTAGGTCTCTCGTCCACCCCACACCACGTGCCATCCGCCCTCCTAAGAGCTCTGCTTCACTTGCCTGTCCCTTCAGCTTTATTCCCTCCCAAAGGATCTCTACCGACTCACGCTGGAGCTCCCACCCTGCTCTTCCGGCCGAGTCTAACGTCTAGTCTATTGGTGGCGCTGTCTGCCCATGTCTGTCTGGATGGGCTGACAAAGGTAACAGGAGGCATGTGTGTTCCAGGCCCCACCACGCCATCCTACCAGCCAGCCAGGTCTCCTGCCTCCCACTCTCCAGGCCCTGACCAGAGCTCTGCTCTCCGGGGTGCGCCTGAAGCATGTGTGTGTGTGCGTGTGTGCGTGTGTGTACGTGGGGGGGGTGACCATGCTGCCCCACTGCTCCATGCTGCCCCGCTGCCCCCATGCTGCCCCGCTGCCTCCATGCTGTCCCGCTGCTCCATGCTGCCCCGCTGCCTCCATGCTGCCCCTCTGCTCCATGCTGCCCCGCTGCCTCCTACCTTGAATTCTGCTGCCAGGGGGTTGCTGGCTCTCTCCAGGGAGGTGGTGTCCAGGCGTTTCTGGTAGCCCTCCAGCCGGTGCCGGTTCTCTGTCTGCTTCACCGCTTCATTCACGTACTTAAGAATTTCCCGGCACTGGTCCCGGGCCCGGCAAAGCTTCTCATGCTCAGAGGTGCCACCTACCAGTCAGCAGAGGAGGCAGTTAGGAGAGAAGCCTGGAGTCCGACATCACCGGCGACTCACACCCGCCACCGACCAGCAGGGACGGCAGATTCGCCCCTGGGCCTGACTGAGGACCTCAGGGTAACGTTATCTTCACTGGGGGCCACCAGATTTCAGATCATTGCTCTGAAGACGCGGACAGCTCTTGGGGTTCTGCCTGGCCCACAAGCAGCTGTGCAGACGTGGGGCAGGAACAGAGACTGGCAAGTGCGGTGGCAGTGCCTCTAGGAACCTGCTGAATTACATGGAGGTTCCTCACCTGCACAGCCTGACTCCAACACCCAAATGTGAGAGTGGTGGAAGGCGCTCAGGATCCCAGGCCCCCTTATTCAGCATGGCCCCTACTCCGCTGTTATCACACACGGTGTGTCCTTTGTGCCTTGCAGAGGCATCCAGTGCGTGTGTGCGCGTGTGCGTGAGAGGGAATGGGGACTAAAATCCAGCCATGGCCCCTGGTGTGGAACCATGGCCCTCAGTGGAGCCAAGGTGCCCTCCATGGACCAACCTGTGTCCACTCAGATGCTGTCCTCTTAGCTGTACAAAGACCCCACCTGGGCTAGAGGTAGCCCTCACCCTGCCCCTGCTGAGCACCTCACTTCCCCAAGTGCACTGACCATCACTATCTTCTGTGAGACTGCTCATACAAGGCCAGGATGAAGACCCTGAAGACCAGAGAGGTCAAGTGACTCTCTCAGGTCACCAAGTACGTCATGCTAGGACTAGGGTCTGAAATGAGGGCTGTGCCCCCCACGCCAGCCCCGCGCCCAGCCCTACCCTCCGTGTGCTTAATGATGCTCTCCAGCAGCAGCGGGTACTTGGTCAGCCGCTGCATCTCCGAGATGATGAGGTCCCGCAGCTGCAGCCGCCGGCACTGAGGGTGGCTCTCAGCCTCCTAGACGAAGGGAGGCACAGACAGGGTGAGGAGCTGGTTTATGGGCTCAGGACCTGGTTGGGTGTGAAAATGCCAATAGGTCCTAATTCGAGAGGGAAACTCAGAACAGTGATGGCAGCTTCTTTCTTGAATATTTAAGGCAAAGCATGTGGGGGCCAGGAGACAGATGCCTGTGGAAGGGATATGGTCAGAGGAGCCACACAGAGCAGGTGTTCCTCCCCTTTACAGACAGGAAACGAGTGAGCTGGACCTAATGACTGCTTATCCAGGCTTCTTCCCAGCAAAGCAGTCTCTGTCTTGAGCGTAGATACAGGTCAGTGTTTCGGGAGAAGTGGCGTGAGGGAGGGTGCAGGTGGTGCAGGGAGTTTGCATTGTCCTCCCCAGAGAGAGAAGGGGCAGGGGTGCTTGGAGCTGAAGTCTGGAGATGTGACTGACTTGGCTAACATGTAGTGGAATGAGAGGAGGCGGCAGGACAGCAAAGGGCGCACCTGCATGAAGAGCTGGAATCGGCTCTCCTTCCGCTGCTTGGTCTTGATCAGCTCCAGGGCTATGGACTGGTACGAGCAGAACTGGGCGGCCACTTGCTGGAGTTCCTCTCGGGCAGGACCATCAAACTGAGGCAGAGTGGACACGGGCGGGCATCATCACATCCCGACCTGGGACCGGCCCCTCCCCGTCTCCTCCTTCGCCTCATCCTCCAGCCGTGGCCAGGCCCCCCTCTCCCTCTCTCCAAGCAGAAGTGTGCAGCTATACCCGAGCCAGCATGAGGTCACTGATTTCCTTGATGATGGGGCCCTCCTCCCGGAGCTTCTTCATGGCTTCACACCAGGAATCTGGGCGAGGGGAGAAGCAGCAAGGCTGGGTGGAGCGGCAGAGGATCTGACAGCAGTGCTGTGGGGAAGGGTCTGGGAACCAGGATGCTCTGGGGTAACTGGGATGCTGGCTTCAGGTTGCACAGCGGATCGCCAGGGCTTTCCGCACGGCGAGGTCCCAGCGTGCGGGTGAAGAGGGGGTGGAGGGCGGGCGGGGAGGACAGCTCCTCACTGTGGATCTCGATGAGTTCAGGCAGGTTGGGGAAGAGCCGGGCCAGCTCCTCCCGGGGCATCAGGTTCTCCTTCTTCATTCGCTGGTAGAAGATCAGGTCCAGGACCCGGAGCGTGCGCAGATGGGAAGCCTCGGTCACAAACAACTCTGAGCAGCAGTGTGACAGGAGGATAGAAAGACGGGAGAAAACATGAGCAAGTATCTAGAGTCACTACTGTGACCCCCAAGCCACTTCATTTGGGGGGAACTGAGTACTGTTTTCAAATCGTACATGGACTGGACTTTCTCTCACCCAAGGGTCAGCACTGAGTTGTTCCTTAGGATCAACAAGGACCTGGGCCTGTCGCAGGGCCCTCCCTCTTTACTCCTCACACGGTTAGAGTGGAAATGGGGTGAGCAGGGGCGGGGAAGGGGAGCACGTCCTCACCATTGATGACCTCTTGCCGGTCAATCTCCCTCTGGGTGAGCCCCGCCAGCACGTCCTTGCCCGCCGTGTGCTGCCAGTTCTGCGTGTCCGGCTCCGGCTCCAGGTCGGACAGCTGGCCCAGGTCGTCCTCCAGGAGGTGGGGCAGGAGGGCATCCGTGCAGAACCCCAGGCTGGGGGACTCGATGCTCCTGGGAGAGAATGAGCGGCCTAGCTTTACTTGGAGGAAAAACTCACACTTGGGGTTTGTCCCTCCCTCTCCTGCCCAATCTGCTTGCCCCGTGCCCACTGGGGAGCACAGGCCACGGAAGAGATGCACATTAACCAGCCACGCGGGTGGGAGCGACAGTGGGACGTGGCTGGAACTCAGACACCCATGGGAAGTGCTGCCGCACCCATCACTCACCTGCGACCCATTTTGGGGGTGAAGGGAGGAGTGGGGTTCTCCAGAGACCTGTGGAGAGAAAGTTAACTCTCAGAGCCGCTGCCCCTGCCCCGGCAGTACCAGGGGCTGAGCTCGGAGCCTGCGCACCTGGTGGAGAGGCTGGAGGCGGAGGACGAGGCTGACTGGTGGAGGCGGGCGGCCTCGGCGGCGGCGTCCATGTCCACGTCGCTGCGGGAGCGGGGCACGCTCTCCGTCTTCCGGGAGCGCTTCAGCTCCTCCCGGCCCTTCAGGCTCTCCGAGCGGCCCAGGCGGATCTCTGAGCGCGCGCTGGGAAAAGGCAGAGACCTGGGGTCCGATGTCCGGCAGCTCCCTCTGCTGCCCATCTCAACGCCGCCTCAGCGGTGCAGCTCCTCCACCCCAGCCCCACAAGAGGCCAAACACCGAGATTCACCCAAACACGAAAACTCCTAGAGGAAAGGCGCTTTCCAGCGACAAATACTTCTGCTGCCCTACAAGGTTCTCGCCCACCGGGCCGGGAAGGACAGGGCCTCCCGTCTTGCTCAGGACCCATGAGAAAGCAATCCTAACAGGAAAGTGAAATCTGGAACTAACAAAATCAGACTTGCATGTCCTAATGCCAGGAAAGCCGTGGGCACCCATTAGACTGGCAGGTCCCACCCTGGCAGGCTCCGTGCTCAGCCCTCTGCTATGGAACAGGCAGCTCCCACTGCAGACCCCGCTTGAGCCGGACCCTTCCTTTCACAAGGTCATCTGCGAGGAAATGTCTGCACACACTCATTCTAGCATTTTCCACAGTGCCTGCCAGGACATTCTGTCTGCTGACAGAGCACTGCCCTCCACTCAATGCAGATTTCTTCCATTCTTCGCTGCACAGGATCCTTCCCAAGCTTCCATTTCCTTTCTTGGAAGCAGACAGCTTGGAAGCTCACTTACAGGAGCTGCTTACTGACCATCAGGAACCTGCTTCCCGGTTTGGCCACTGAGCGTCTCTGGGGCTTCACGAAACGCTGACAAGTGGGTGTGGCCTTTTCGGGTCCTGCAGCACATCCGCCCTGAGAGAGCAGCATCTCTGGACCCTTACTGCCCAGGATGTCGCCTCCCTGTGGGGTGCTTATTACTAACACCACATCCTGCCATGCATCCAGGCCCACAGGAGCACAGCACGCTGCTACACAGGAGCCTAATGAATGGCTTGGTCTCAATTCATCAAGTGTCTCCGTACTGTCAGAGGATCTACATGGGGCCTCCATCCTCAGCAGGGTTAGAAACCACACTGCTCACTCGTCCCCTACTAACCTCTCACCCCCGAAAATTGTGAGAATAATTCCAATCCAGACTAACTCAAAACACTTTCACCAGTGCCCCCAATGGGTCACTTTAGCTCGACAAACTTCATCCAGCAAGGTTACTGGGATGCAGAGCTAAGTAACTTCCTTCAGTGCCCATAAGTGAATCGTACTCCCACCAGAAAGTGAGGCACATAACCCACCTCTGGGACTGCCTTCTACAACTGGGCGCTTCTCAGACCTTCTAAGTATCTACGACAACCTCTGACCCACTTGCTGACACTATTTCTAAGGTTGCCAGTGAGCTTCGTCACCAAATCCAAAGGCTTCTGTGAACTTAGGATCCTAGTGAACATCTTAGGGCAAATATACCCAGCAACTTCAAGAACAGAAATTTGCAACTGGTCTCAAATATTCTATCAAAATATTGATATATCTTATAATTGTGTATTTGGTCATCTATGACTATGCCTACCCCAGCAATTATATAATTTCTATATTTAATTTAGTAATGTGAGAATTTAATCTCATCCCAGTGCAAATCTTTTATCTCCCCTAAATCTTTGTTAATTCTCATTTAGCAAAATCATTTAACACGTATTAAACTTAACAAAAAGGAGTAACCTTGCACACAAGAAGGACTGTCTGACATATGATTTAATCATTAGGTATCTCAGAGGTTATGAAGGCTGCTACTTATTGTGTTGCCTTCGTGCCTGCCTTTAATTAGTCTAGCCCAGTGGCTCAGACTCAAGTGCTCACAAGCATTGTTCATTATTCTCGTATACACAAGACCACACTCCTGTACCTCAAGGGTGACTTAAGAAATGTGCAAGGACATTTCCAACTACAAGCAAATTTCATTTAGGTGTTGACTGTAGTCATGCCGTAGTCAAGAACAAGTCCCTTCTTCCCCTTCCCAGTTTCCGCTAGCCTTGTCACCTAGGGTTTCCTGCTCAGCTGCTTCATATTATAATCGAGCTCATTCTTGGGACGAAGGCTGCTGAGAAGGCAGGGTTGAATCCGAAGGAAATTTTAAGGGACTGTGGTTCCTGGGCTAGGAGGTCGGGACCCTGCTCTCTCTTCTGCTGGCCTGAGTGCCACACCTATTACGTCTTCCTCTGAAGACGCACGGTGGAAAGATTGAGGGAGGGAGAGGCTCACAGTCCAGTGCAGGGGCTAACGTAGCTGGAATTAAGCTCCGAACCCTTCCCAGGCCCCCTCCTTGGGAAGCGCCCATCCAGCCACTACCTGTCGCTCTCCAGCAGGTCCTCGGGGAAGCTTCCTGTCGAGAGTCGCTGCATCCCGGGTTCCGGGGCATCATACGGCTGGTTGTTCTCAAAGTGCTGAATGATGTTCCTCACGTTGCCTGGTTTAACTAGAAGAGAAAGATAACGGAGGGCACTCTGCTTTCTGTATAAGGACGAGGGCTCAGGACTCTCACTCCCCTCTAACCCCAAAGACAAAGCAAGGAGCAAGCATGGAGGAGAACAGCGTGGGGCTGAGAACAGGAGGCACAGTCTAGTCCTGGCTCTTCTGCTGACGCGAGGGTGGCCTGGGCTGCCCCTCTATCTTGCTGGGTTTGCTCTTTCTGATCTGCAAAATGACAGGGTTCAGAAGTACATATTCTATGGAGATTTCTTTTGACTCCCACATTCTTTATCACAATGATTCTTCTGCTTGAAAATTGTGACTAGGTTTTTCTCAAGCTCCACATACAGGTTAAAAAAATACCTAGGGGGACCAAAAAACGTATCTACGTGCCATCTGGCCATGGTGCCAAATTATACCCAGCACTTTCCAAATTTATATCATTTTTAGAGTTCATGGTTTCTGTTCTTCTCTGAGTTTTCCTTCCTGTTCTTCCTGCTCTCCATGCCCCCCATCCCTGGTCTCCATCATTATAGAATCAAACCCTTCATTAACAGCGAGAGGGGTCTTAGGAGGAACAAAGAAGAGATGTCATTTCTGGCATTCACATTCCAGCCCCTTTTGAAAGCTAAGACAAAAGAGCTATTCCTGTTCAAAGCAGCAGACAGGGCAACAGGGTAAGAAGGCATGTGCGATGCCGTGCAGACACCTGGAGGGGAAATTTCTGGCTCAGGGCTCAGTGGCTCTCGTCTTCAAAGCCAACTAGCTCAGCTCCAAGTTCAGTGATATCTGACAGGTTTGGGCCAGAAATGCTGCTCTGCCTCAGACCAAAGGGAGGATAAGTGGGACTGGGGGTGGGGTGGGGGGCAGGACAAGGCAGATACTCTAGAGGGCGGGCCCTGATCCTAACCAACTGACTCGTGTCCCGCCCAAGCTTCAGATTCTGATATCTACAAACTTACAAATCTCCCTATATATCGAAATTTCAGTTTCATAAGAAAATTTCCAAGCCACAGGAAACAGATAAATAACATTTAGTTGATCTCCTCAAAGCGCACAACTTCATATCCTTTAGGCAGGTTAACTAAAACTGTCCGATAGGGGCTGTGTGTATGTGACAGGAGTAGGCGTATTTCCATCACTCCCGTTTCTGAGCTTAGGGCCAGACCTGCCTGCCTGGACTGAATGTGCATCTGGACCGTGGAGTAACAGAACAGCAGAAGCCAGGGTCAGCTGTTTGGCCACAGCCCCGAGTGGCCCTGGCTGGGTGATGATGGAGCCCGGCTGAGTCCACTGTTCCCTCTCCCATAGGCCACTTAGAACATGCCTTCTGTCCTGGGATATAGTATGTCCCAGCTGTGACAAGTAACAGGAAAACCCGGAGTACAGGGGAAAGTTGGTGGGAAGTAGCACGTTTTGTGCAGCTGGCCGTGGCTCAGTTGTTGAGCATCAACCTATGAACCAGGAGGTCACGGTTCTATTCCTGGTGAGAGCACATGCCCCCAGTGTGGGGTGTACAGGAGGCAGCCGATCAATGCTTCTCTCTCATCACTGATGTTTCTCTCTCTCTCTATCCCTCTCCCTTCCTCTCTGAAATCAATACAAATATAAATAAAAAAGCAAGGTTTCACTTTGTTCTCCTCCCTCCATTATCTGAAGGACAATAAAACTAAATAAAGTATATTATGTTACTAACAATCCGATACTCTCACTAATAAACGAGCAAGAGTTGATCATCCTAAATGGCAAAACTCAATATTGAGATTTTCTAGCTTTGGTGGATATATGATCTTTAGATATGAATATGGGTATGTCTGGGGTCCTGAGAATTTGAGAACACAAACCAAATCATAGTATCACAACTGAAAAATCTGACTCAAAGAGATGGTGAACACCCAGCACCCCCGTCCGGCCCCAGGATCCGCAGCTCCACCCTGGGCGTTCCCGTCCCCTCAGGCGGACACAGAGCACGGGGGCTGCTCAGCCTCTTAAAGCTGACGCTCGCCTCACGCCTTCCTTGGGCAGGGCAGACGGGTGAAGTATGTGTTAAAACTAAGGGCCTGGGTTTCAAGGCCATTCTTTTATTTTTTTAATATTGTTTTATAATCACTTTTTCAATCATTATTTTTGTTGTTTAAACAGCATAATGAATCTAGGCATTCAATAATTTAAAAATTTTTATAGTTTGTATATTATTTTTAATTGACACTTTCACATAGAATGAATTCTAGCAACAGAATCATTTCTTGATTGCATTCCACTGGTATCTTCATACATTTATTATAGAACCTAGAAATATTAATCACTTAAATATTCCCTCGCTGATGGGAAATGAACTTGTATAATTTTAAGTTCTAGCTTCTTTGGGTTAATGTGTATTATGTATGTATGTTTTCAGATACGTGTTTTAGAAGATAGATAATAGGTACTCTACATATTAGGGTCATTCTTTTCTTTTTTTTTCTTCTTTTTAAAAAAATATATTTTATTGATTTTGTACAGAGAGGAAGGGAGAGAGATAGTTAGAAACATTGATGAGAGAGAGTCATCGATCAGCTGCCTCTTGCACACCCTCTACTGGGGATATGCCCGCAACCAAGGTACATGCCCTTGACCGGAATCGAACTCGGGACCCTTCAGTCCCCAAGCCGACGCTCTATCCATTGAGCCAAACTGGTCTCGGCCATTCTTTTCTTTTTAATATATATTTTCAAATTGATTTCAGAGAGAAAGAGGGAGAGAGAGATACAGATACATCAATGATGAAATAGAATCGTTGATCGGCTACCTCCTGCATGCCCCCTACTGGGGATCGAGCCTGAAATCTAGGCATCTGCCCTTGACCAAAATCGAACCTGGGACCCTTCAGTCCACAGGCCGATGGTCTATTCACTGAGTCAAACCAGCTATGATAGGGTCATTTTGAAAAAACTGCTGTATAATTAGTGCTGATAAAACTAAAGGGATTATGCATTCCCTTCAGGTGGATGATATAAATTAAATGTTTATATAGGTGGATGATATAAATTAAAACTATCCAAAAAAAAAACAAACTGCTGGAGACCCATTATTTATTTTTAAAAATCCACAAAACCCTGTAACCTTTAAAAAAAAAAAAAAGATTTTTTGTTATTTTGATTAAAAATAAAAATCTGAGGAACTTGTGCAGGACATTTCAATGTGCAAGGGTTTCCCTCATTTCTATAAAATCCTGGACGGTTGGCGCCTCATCCATGAACGGTGGCAGAGTGCAGAGGGAGCCTCAGACAGTGTCGTGTGTCCCAGAGCAGTGTTAGCAGCGAGGAGGAGCGTGTAAGAAGTGGAATAAGGAAAGGGAGGGAAGGAAGAGGGGCAGGACAGGAGGAGAGGATGAAGAAAGAAATGGGAAGGAAAGATGGGATTTGGGAAATGGAAACTCAATGCTAAAGCAAAGAAAAATTCAAAGAAAATGGTCCTTTTACCTTCCACAGGGGACAAGGGAATATGAAATGCTAAAAAACAAACAAACAAAAACAAAAGTAAACCATGAAAAGTCAAATTAAAATAAAATTTACATCAAGCTGGAAAATGGATGTTGTGGCAAAAATCAGGGCTGATCTAGGAGTTGTCCCCTCGCCCTCCCTCCCTCCCGCTCCCCCCAGCAACTTCAGAAAAGGCAGCAGTCCCACCCCAGGCCCTTCGCAGACTTCCAGGACTAGTATTAGTGGTCTCAGGAAATGACTGCAAGGGCCAGCAGCAATTTCCAGAGAAATGACACAATGGGGAAGAAATCAATGACGGGACTCGTTGAGTTGGGTTACTGATGGCATTCAGGGCACCTCTGGGCTCCAAACCTGCCCTCTTTCGAACTAGTTCTGCTTAATAGTAACTCAATTCCCCATCAAGGGCCCATAAGTGGTCCCAACACACAGGCCCTCAGGTGTACAGACGAAGGTGAAGGCGGCACTCGGTGTCAACAGAGCAATACTGCCAAGGGGGAAAGTCCCCCACATGGCTGCTCAGCACTACGCATGGCTCTGGCACGGTTCCCTGCTCCTCAAAGCGCCTGCAGTGGTGTGGACAGGGGAGAACCCAGTGGCACCAAGAGGAAGCTCCATCTCAGAGTTTGGGCCTGTGGCTCTCAGAAACCCCGGAAGACCTCCTGCCCTCATGCTGGTCTATGAAGGGGCTGAGGTCCCCCTGGAGGCTGCTGCTCCCCAAATACTTACTACTCTGGGACGAGCTTTTGGGCTTCCCGATGTATTTGAGGATGGGGTTTCGCTTCTTGTCTTCCAAGGCATCCTTTTCTTTCTTGGGATTGCTGCTCTGCTGAGAAAAGAGACATGGGGGTTGGGGACCATCCCAATACCCAGATTTGGCCACTAATCACTCTGCCGCTGCTCTGAAGACTGGCCCTAAATAAGAAACTGGAGAGCAGGGTCATGCTTGTCCTAACTAGGTTTGGAGGAAGGGAGAGAGCTGTCGAGGGTGAGGATTTTCACCATGGCTATAGGTGGTGGGACGAACTAGATACCTCCCAAAAGGCTTTACCAGCCTGCCTCAGTGCTGAGCCAAGAGAAGACACTATAGGGTGGCTCCGTTACCTTCTTGGTCTTCGGGAAGAAGGGCAGCCACTTGTCAGGAGCAGACAACGGGGCCTTTTCCGCCGCGATGGAAGACCGTGCCTCTCGGAGCCGGATCCCAGCATGGCTCATGTAGGTGTTGAGGGCGAAGTCCATGGGGGCGCTGGAAGGCAGGAGTAGGGTGCTGTCTCAGAGAGCTCAGCCATGTCTCTGCCAGCATGGGGAAGGGCAAGAATGCTGCCTTGGTTCTTCATCACCACCCAGTAGGGTGGCAAAGCAGTAGGCAGGGGCCAGGGCAGTCAGAGGGAGGCCTGGAATATTCAAACAGGGCAGCAGGCAGTAGCTGGCGAGAAGTCTTGGCTGCCGTGACTCCAAGCAGAAACTGGACTTTTCATGAGCAGAATTCTTCCTAACACGGGGATAGTGGTCAGTGGAAGGACATGTCAGTTCCCTACAATGGAAGCAAACCAGCCGTGGGAAGACCTGGAGGGCCAGAGGAGGACCCAGTTCGTGCCCTCAGGCACTTACTGGGGGTGGAATGGCACAGGGAGGGGGAGAAGCACCGACCGCCTCTTCTAAGGCAGACTGCCCTCGCCACCCGCCCCCAGCCAAGGACAGAGAGAAAGGGCGGAAAGGAGCTGTCAAGTAGCTTTCAGTTGCCACAGATGAAACTGTCCAGAGCTGTGTTTAAAAATGGATTTGGCTCTCAATTTGGTAGATTATCTACTTGGTGGGTTCAGTGCAGCAAGTGCTGCTGCCCTGGTTTTCCTCTCCTCCTAAAGAGACTTCCAGCCCCATCCCTGCTCCCTGAGGAAGTGTGGGTCTCAGGGAATGCATGCTGCTGCTGAGAAACAAAGACCTGTGTCCAGACAGCAAAAATAATATGTGCCAAGAGAGAAAATGTGCTGTAGGTCAGCTCCCTTCTGTAGGTGCTGCTCTCACAGGCCGTCCTACACCCTCCTCCTCTAGGTGGGCTAGGAGAGAACAGTGCGAGGGAGACCAGGGCTAATCTGGGTGAAGGGATGCAAGGTATGGGAATACTGTGAGCGCTAGCAGCTCAGCGTCCTCACACTGAGAAGCAGACGCCCATCCCAGGCAGCGATCCTGAGTGTTAGGGCCTGGACCTCAGGAGCTGGCTGCGTGGTGGTGACACAGATGGTGCCACCAGGGTCGGGCGGCAATCCTACAATGCTGGGGACTCTCTGTGAGTGGCAGAGATGGAAAAGCACAGCAGCTCAACCTCACTCCTTCCCACCTCGAAACTACACCACAGGCTCACTCACCTCCTGTCTTCCTCGTATTTGAACCTGGAACAAAAGAAAGAAGAGATGACTCAGACTGCAAGGGCAGCGGCTCCTCCGCCAGTGCAGACTGGAAGGAAGGGGGTGTGGGGAGGAGGGTTGAGGATGGTGAAAAGGCCAGGTGTGACTCTGGGTCTCAGCTCTAGAGCCAGTGTGGGGTCAGGAGAGGAGGGCTCTGGTTCTCTCGAGGGCCTCCAGCCACAGTTTTAACGACGATGTCCTTCTAGCTAACGGAGGAGAATGTGAAAATCCAACTCCTGCCTGGTACCTGTTTCTGCCTCTGAAGTTATGGAGGAAGAGACGCCTCCTTTTGTCCGCTTGGAACTAAAGGAGGGGTTGGGCTGGGCTGACACAGAGGTCAGAGGAAAGAAGGTGAGAGAGCGAGAGAATACTTTAGGACCTGATTCAAAGAAACCTATTAAAAGAGATTAGTAAACAGTAACTGAAACTTCCATTTGAGTGTTAACTATGGGCCTGGCCTATCCTAACCTACTAACAAGTATTAACTCATCTAATTCTAAAAATAACCCATGAGACGGTCCATGTAATGAGACTGAAGTTCCCCTGCTTTAAATGGAAGCCATTAGAAGTGGAGTACTTATGCTTCTGTAATAATCCCAAATAATTCCGTGGTGCTCCAATCTCAGAACGGGCGGTCAGGTTTGGCCTCCATCGCTGGCCTGGTTGGTGATTTCTGCCATCTGACTGGGAGGGAAACTATGGCCGGGAGGATTCAGGGCTCAGCTGAAGGTCAGAGGGCCGTGTCAGAGAATATGCCTTCCCCGTCTGATCTCATCTAGTCTCACCTCCATCCAGCCCAGACCTCTTATCAAATACCAGCTTCATACAGGCAGCTGCTACTCAGCTCTCCAGGTTGATGTCTAAAAATACATCTCCTGTCCCTCTGAGCCCCCGATGGCCTACTACAAACTGCTCCACACAGTCGTTCCTGTCCCGAGTGATGGCTCCTTCCTTTGTCCTGTTAGTAGCTTCAGTTAAAAAACCATGGCGTCTTTTGACTTTTTAAAAGAAATCCGTCTGCTCTGTCAAAGTAGACTGAGAACTGACATCTTTCCCCAACTCCCATGGCCACCACCACGGGCCACGCCCCACTGCATGGTTTTGGGAACTGACGCCCCTCCCCTCGGTGTCTGGAACTCTTCCTGCCCTCCCCCCACCCCCCGCCCACGTGAGTCTCTCACAGCTCCAAAGGCTTCCCAGTCACAGGTGCTAGGTAGCCAATCTCCCTGTTACCCTCAGACTGTCTTTCTGAATCTGCTCTGGCCACACCGGTCTGCCATTCTTCAAATATGCCAAGCACATTCCTACTTTGCCCTGGCTGCTGTCTCTGCCTGCGACTGTCTTTCCCCAACGTCTTCAAGGATAATTCCCCACTTTCTTAATTAAAACTGCACCCCCCCCCCCCCCCCAAGCTCTGGAGCTCCTGCCACCTCCCAGCACTTACTATTTTCCAATGTACTATATAATTTACTTATTTATTATACACTGTTTTCTCTTCCCACTATAACAGCTCAACAAGAAGTGTTGTTTGGTTTACTAATGTATCCCAGGAGCACAGAGCAGTGCTAGGCACACAGAGACTCCAGAAACAGCTGCTGGATTGAAAAATCAGTGTTAAGACTGTGGAAAACATCTTGTCCAACTTTTGCCATTTTGTAAGTGAGACGAAGACAGATGGAAAGGCTTGAACAAGGTCCCAGAACTACTGAGTTAAGCAGCAGCATTGGGGTGAAGTGTCCCCACAAAGCCAGCACAGGAGCTCTAACACTTTAGAGAATGGGACTGGGAAGGAGCCACCACACAGCTCTGCCAGCGGCTCTTTAGTACGTTTAGTCAGGCCAGTCTGCTGTCGGCCAGTCCTATCCATCTCCTGAAGTAACTGGATCCACTGGAGACTGTGTGCCCTTCATGTTCAGTTAGATCTGATCTAACGGACAGGAAGGAAGACCAGTCAGAGGGCTACGAAGGGGAAGCAGAAAGCTCACGGTCCTGGCTGGTGTGGATCAGCTGGGTGTGTCCAGTGCACCAAAAGGTTGCTGGTTCGATTCTCGGTCAGGGCACATGCCTAGGTTTCAGGCTTGATCCCCAGTAGGGGGCATGCAGGAGGCAGCCGATCAACGATTCTCTATTATCACTGACGTTTCGATCTCTCTCTCCCTCTTCCTTTTTCTCTGAAAAATAGATTTTTAAAAAAGGCACCCTATTCTGGGGGTAACAGGAACTGGAGACTCACAGAATATCTCCCAGGGCAGCCAGCTGCTTCTCGGCCACTTGGCGCTCTCGGAGAGGGTTCCCATCCAGCTCCAGCAGGTCGTTCTCACCATACAGGCTGCCCAGTCCCAGAGTGCGCTTCGTTCTGAGCCAGAGAGACACAACTGTACACAAATGCTTGATAGCAGATACCCAGAAATGTGAGCTACACACACACACACACACACACGTCATGGGGGAAAGAAAAGGGGCGAGGAGCAGAGGGAAGGGGGCCAGGCCACCTGTAGTCCTGGATCTGCTCCTGGATCTCCGGCATGGCTGCCTCCTGAGCCTCACTGAGAACACTGCGCAAGTCCTCGCTGCTCCGCAAGCGCAAGTCTGCAGTGGGACCAGAGACAGAGATGGGGAAGGGCGTTGGGGAGGAGGAGATTACATTAGTAGAGCGTGTCAAAGAGGGAGGCTAGCTTTCTGTCCTCCTGCTAGCCAAAGGAAACGGAGGCCTGGACTTAGCAGGCATTCCCGCGTTCAGGACTAGAATCCCGATGTGCAAGCCCCAAGGCAAGGACGAGACCATTTTCTGGACGTCCTCTGTTAGTGGAGAGAATACTGAAGCCCTCTCCTGGGCTGTGTCCAGATGCTGCTCTCGGACACCAGGGCGTGCGTCTGAGAGGCTCCTCTTTGGCCCCAGGGCCAGCTCGCAGCACTTCGTAGGAATCCCACTCCCAGACACTGGCTCTCCTGTCCGGCACCTAGCTTCATGCAGCCATGGCCAAGTTCCTGGCAGTGGTGGCTCCCTCTCTGCTTTTAAGCAATCTCTGCTCACCCTCTCGCCTGTGCCCATGAGCTTTCCTTCCTGCCAACCTCTCTCCAAAGGCAGCTTCAAATTCCATCTTCTGGAAAACTGGCTGGGATCCACTCTCTGGCTGGGACTGGACAGAGGAAGGGAGCGAAGTGCTCACCTAGGTCATTCCAGGCCAGCTGCGGTCAGCATTAGCTGAGGAACGTATACAGCACCCCGAGACCCCAGCTCTGTGGGTGGGTGGCGTGAGGCCTTGGTTTCTGTGCTTGTAGAGAGTTCCCCAGCAATTCTGATGACCGGCCAGGCTTAGGAACCCCTCACTGCACTCAGTTTTCTCTTTGTACAGATGACCCAACTGAGGCCCAGGAAGGTCACATGGAAGGCTGGCAGGAATGAGCACTGGTCTCCGAGCAAGTCGTGCCTTCCTGTGACAAGCTCCAGCAGGCATAGCTCCGGGCAGGGCCTGTCCGTGCTGAGGCGCGCTGGAGGCACTGTCTCTGTCCCCTCTTGGAGGACAGCTGCCAGGTCAGGGACGAGGCCCCTCTGCTCTGCAGCCCCAGAGCACCCAGGACGGGACGGGCACTCACTGACCAATGAGCCAACTTACCGATCTCAGCCTGTAACGCCTCTGGGACCTTCACTCTCAGTGGCTAAAAAACAGAAGGGGGGGGGTGTGGGCAGAAGTGGTGAGTCCCCACCCCCAGGGGACGTGGCAGACAGCACTGCCTTCTCTCCCTTTTCTACCTCTATCCGGCTCTCCTCTCACCACCCCCCACCTGGACCTGAATTCCAGGCTGGGGTTTGGAGAAATTGAACCTGAGAATACAGAGTGAGCCGGGACCACACCGAGGGTGGGACATGCGGCTTCTTCACTCTTATTTCAAGGACATCAGAGTGGACGGGACGATGTTCTAAGCAGGAGGACTGGTGCTAGCACAGCAGCAGGAGGACCTTTGTTAGGCTGTTGGCTTTACTGCCCTTGCCTGCGCTCCCAGGAAGTCGGTCTTCTGTGACCCAGTCTCCTGGGAGCATGTTCTGGCTTTTGCTCCGAGTACCTGACAGCTGGGCAATTCCACAACCACCAACAGGGAACAACCTGCAGCTCTGATCTCCTTACTCAAGACCCACCTAAGGGGCAACAACGAACATCTTGAGGAAAAACAGTTCATTTCTCACTCATTAGTCCTAGCAGCCAGAGGAAGAGTCATGTTGGAACTGGCTCAGTTAATCAGATTGGAAGGTCTAAGAGGGAGCTGCCGCCAGCCAGGTCCCTGCAGCATCCTTGGGGACTAAGCCCAGATGCGGTGCACATCTGTGGCCCATTCTCTGGGCTGTCCTCCCTCTGGACTCTGCCCGAGGGCAGTCAGAGCAAGTCAGCTGGCTCATCCGATGTCTCTGAGCCTATTTCTAATACCAGGGACGAGCGAGGCAGGAAGGGCTGGGGACACTGTTCCAGGAGAGCGCCTCTCAGAGGATGTGTGTTCCATTGTGGTGCATGCAGAACAAACGAGGTCTCCAGAGCAGATCAACCCTGAGAGCAGAGCCAGAACAGAACTGGGAGCTCAATCTCTCAGCCCACACTTCTCTTTAAGAACCTATTTGCATTTGGCCTGAATGTTTTGCTTAGTCTTTCCTGTCTTTGAATGGCCCAAAGAGTGTCATAAATTGTAATCCAACCCATGACTGTCATACCGCATTTTTCTCTAGGAAAATATTCCAGATGTCTTTTCCCAAGCTTCGGGAATCCTTGGAGTTTGTCTGCTGATAAACTTCTGCACACAAGTAAAAAAGCTGGGAGGAGAGGAGAAGATGGGTTGAGGTTAGTCCTCAATCAGGAGGGACTCTGCCCCCAGGAGGCCATTAGCAATGTCTGGGGACACTTGAGAGGTGCTACTGCCGTCTAGTTGGTAGACTCCAGGGATGTAGCTAAACATCCTGGAATGCACACGATAGCCCCCCTCGCCGGCCCCCCCACCTCCCCTAGCCAACCCCTCTTCAGCTCAGAACATCAGGCAGTGCGGAGGCTGAGGAACCCCAGCTCAGGGCGTTTCAGGAGTCTAAGGTACCCCTTCTGCCTTTGCACGCACCATAGTCAACACAACTGCCTCAACTCTGTACCCTTCCTGCACGGACACTCTGTGTCCTGCACTTGCTGACAGACGGTTTTCTAAGGGCCCTGCCTTCTCTCTCTGTGACTGATGAGCTTTCTTCATTCAGGAATGTGGTTGAGACACCAGCCCTTGGGACTTACACACAAGTACTCAATGGCATCTGTTGAGCAAACGGATACTGACTGGCTGCTAATAGTGGTATCCCCAGAAAGAAAAACCAGTAGTCTTTGCCTTGGGCACGGTTATTCTGAAGAGCATAACATCGAGCTCTCTCCTTCATTCCGCTTCCTTTCGAAGCAGCTGAGCAGAGTGAGAGCAGCTGGTAAGGCTGCTGGCTCTGAGCACTATCCCAGGGCACTCTGTCACCTCCTAGTCCTTATCACCTTCAGATCCAAGGCCCTTTTATGTCTTGTCCCTCTGCCACGCTATCTTGTAGTAACACTATACTCCCAAGGGCCACTCTCAGCTCCCCCTTTTACCCACTTCTGTTCAAAGACCTCTAGCAGACCACCCCTTCCACGCTGACCAGGAACGAGCCGTCCCGGCCTTGCTCTTGCTGCTTCTCCCTATGTTGTTGATGTGCGTAGCAGTGAGGCCTCCCTTCACTGAGGTTTCCCTCCTTTTACACTTTATCCATGTCCCGGAGATGCTAACGGGGCCACGGAGCAGGGCCAGGGGTCATCTTCATTCGGGAATGTTGCTGAGACCCCAGCTCCGCTGGTGAAGCACAAGCAGACACTCAGTCAAGACGGACCCTTCTGACTTACCAGTGGGCTGGGGTCTGCCTGAGAGAAGATGTAACGTAGAAAAACCCCCAGGTGAGCTGGCCGTGACTTAAGTTTCTCAAGATCCTGGAATATGATGTCGCTCTGGAAGGCAGAAGGAGAATGGCTGGGACACAGTGGCAGGGCGCAGCCACAGGGCCTGTTCCAGCTTAGTGCCCAAGTTCTTGGCTCCCAGGGTTTCTAAGCGGTGGCTCCCTCCTCCTCATTCCCTCCCAGATGGTGTAATCAAACTGCCCCCAGTCGAGAGCAGCGGGTATGACAAAGAATGATGAAAGGAGAAAACCAGGAAACAGTTACCTCGTTGTTGAAATAACCCGGGTCATAATCTTCTTCTGGGCCAATAATTAAAGGCTTTGGGCTTTGATCTACACCTGTCTGAGGGGTAGAGATGAGCGGTTAGAGGACAGGGGATCCAATCCCTTGATGAAGCCTGACAGGGAAAGCCACATGTCTCTGGCAAACACTGACATCTCACTACCATCCCCAAATCTCAGAAAATAGGATTTCCACTTGCAGGAAGTCAAGTGCATGGGGGGTAGGGGGGAGGCGGAAAGCGACTCAGAGGAACCTGATCACAGGACATAGAAGATGGGAAGTGAGAGAAAGTGCTCTCTTCCTGTTTGCGAAAGAACTGGGTAGGGAATTCCGCCAACAAAATAAGACCTCACTCCTGTTGGGTGCAGGCTTTGTTGTTCTCCTAAACAGCCCCCCCAAAACACTGAACACCCCCCCCCCCCTCCATGTCCAGCAGCTACCACACTGCTACCTGATAGTTACTGTGTCTACTTGATAGTCACTGACAGCACCTGAAGCCGGACCTGTCAGGAGGGCCTAGCAGTCCATGTCTACCTCCTTGAGCACGACCTTTGCCTGTTCAAGGTCTATAGCAGACATCCATTACCTGTCTGGAATCCCAAATTCTTAGACTGGCTTTTCTTTCTCCCTCTTATGCCAATTTTAATCGCCTAACTATCACTGGTGTGCCATCAACATGACGGTATTTCAAATTGCACTTATCAGATGCTGCAATGAACAAGGCTTTCTCCTACAGGTTCCTTGCAAGTTCAAAGCTTTTTTAGCAATTATATTTTCCTCTCAATTTAACCTACCTCATTTCTAACAACTTCCCAACAAGGGCTCAGCTTCTGGAGCCCACCTAAGATTACTCAGGCCTCCCTCTTTCCAGGCCTCAGATACTTCCTAATCCACTATCTAGGGGGCTTTTCCCTACTCCTCACTCATCTTTGTTCTCCTAGGTTGTTAGACTCTAAGCCAGAATCACTGAGTCACAAATGTGAGAGACCTGGAAGACACCTCAGAGTCTAGCACTCATTAAAAATGAGAAGGTGAAATGGGAGGAGGATCCAAGATGGCTTCTCGGGTAGACACCTAACCGCAGCAGCACACAACAATTTCAATGGAATACAACTAAAATGTAGAGTGGACATCGCCCAGAGCTATAGGTAGTCGACTGACTGAAAATTCTACAACAAGAAGGAAAGAGAAAACCAGAAGGAAAATCAGAGGAGCTGAAAAAAAGCCTAAGGTACAGAGACATGCTGTGCGCTCGCGCGCACGCGCGGAGAGGTCACAGCCGGAGAGGAGGAGAGGGCTGGGTGCTGCCTGGCGTTCCCTAGCAGGAAGAAAATAAAACCCCCAGCCTGGGCTGAACCCCCGAACCGGCAGCGCTGAGCCCCAGTTATGAGCCAGACCCTGGGGACCCAGGCTCCGGCGGGGGGAGACGGGGCTGTGAGGCGGAATCCCAAGCGAGCAGCGAAAAGCAGGGCCCCTGGAGTCGCGCGCACATTGTGCACAGAGGACTGAATGTTGACTCTGATGCTGGATTACCCTAGCGTGAAGAAACAAAGCCTCCGGCGGCTCTGAGCCTCAGTCCGGACTGCTCTGAACCCCAGTCCTGGACCAGACCCTGGGGACCCCGGCTTGGGCAGGGGGAGACAGGGCTGTGAGGCAGAATCCCAGGGGAGTGGTGAAAAGCGAAGCCCCCAGAGTCGTGCGCACTGCGCGCAGAGGACAGTCTGTTGACTCTGATCCTGGACTCCCCTAGGGAGAAGGAGAAAAAAAAAAAAAGCTCCAGACTGGAGGAATGCGACGGGGAGCAGGAGCCCCTGCCGGACACCGGCCAGCCGGGCGCCAGCAGGGAGCTGGGCGACGGGGCCCCCAGGAGGGGGGTGCCCCTGAGCCATCGACCTCTGAGCGCAGGCAATGGAGCCGAGGCCGGGGGCTGCTTCCTGGGTGGCGCCGACCCCGGCAACAGGCTGGAGCAGCGCGGGAGCCTGCGGAGAACAAAGCGGTGCCACAGGCCAATCTGCTGAGCTCCCAGGACAAGGAGGAAGAAACCAAAGTTCTCAATGTGAAGAAATCAAGTGAGAGCAAAAGGTAGTAAAATTACTTAAGAAAGAATACAAAGAAGATCTTGAAAATTCAAAGACTAAGTCAGAACTCAACTCACCAGCCAACATTACAACATAAATGCGTTTTTTTTTAAAAAAAGGACAGAATGTTGGAACAGCGGCGGCCAGGCCTAGAGTGGCCAGGCACAAAGCAATGGCAACCGGGCCCGGAGCAGCAACGGCCAGGCCCCAGAGCAGCAGCAGCCAGAACCAGAGCAACAACAGCCAGCACTGGAGCAGCCAGACCTGGGGCAGTGGCAGCCAGGCCTGAGGCAGAGGCAGCCAAGCCCAGGGAGGCCAGTCCAGGAACACCCAGATCCGGAGTGGCTGGGCCCGGAGAAGCCGGGCCCAGAGCAGCCAGGTTGGGAGCAGCCAGGTCCAGAACAGCAGTAGCCAAGCCCGGAACATCCAGGCTGGGAGCGGCCAGACTCGGAGCGGCCGGGCCCGGGGCAGCCGGGCCCAGAGAAGCCGGGTCTGGTGCGGCCAGGCCCGGAGCAGCGGCTGCCAGGCTGGGAGCGGCCAGGCCTGGAGCAGCCGGGTCTGGTGCAGCCAGGCCCGGAGCAGCGGCTGCCAGGCGGGGAGCAGCCAGGCCCGGAGCAGCAGGGTCTGGTGCGGCAGACCCGGAGCAGCGGCTGCCAGGCTGGGAGCGGCCAGGCCCGGAGCAGCAGGGTCGGGTGCGGCCAGGCCCGAGCAGGAGCTGCCAGGCTGGGAGCGGCCAGGCCTGGAGCAGCGGCTGCCAGGCTGGGAGCGGCCAGGCCCGGAGCAGCCAGGTCAGGTGCGGCCAGGCCCGAAGTAGCAGCAGCCAGGTCCAGAGCAACTAGGTCGGGAGCAGCGGTGACCAGACCCGGAGCAGCTGGTTGTGGAACGAACCAGAGCAACAGAGGCCAGGCCCGGAGCAGCCAGGCCCGGAACAGCTCGCTCCTCGCCTGCCCCTGCCCCACAGCTGCATCTCAGACATGGCTGGAAACTTTTGTGGGAACTTGAGGGTCTGCTGAATCAAGTGATGAAGGCTTAGATCTGGATGTGTTGAGTTAGTATAGCATGGGGGTGTTGATCTGTGAGTGCCTTGGGTGGGGCCTGGATGAGGCTGGTTGACCTATTTGGAAATGTCTTTTGTGTGAAATGTATCATTGGGCATGTGGTGGTATTATTGATATGAGAAAATGCTAAGTAATTGATTTACTATCTGAAAAGGGATTTACTATCGGGGAAAGGGAGGGAGGAAGAGACTGAACATAAACTGCACCTATGGATGAGGACAATGGGGGATGGGGAGGGGGCGGAGGTGGGGTGGGAACCTGGTGGAGGGGGGGAAAATGAGGAACCTTTGTAACAATATGAACAATAAAGATTGATTTAAAAAAATAAATATCAAAAAATAAAAAAAATAATAATAATAAAAATGAGAAGGTGAGGCCCCAGAGAGACTGAACGGCAAGTGCAAAGCTGCAGAGTCAAGCCTGCTGGGCTATATTTGTATACCTCAGAGGATGGGGGCGGGGGCAGGGGACTGCAGGACAGGGGAGAAGAGGAGGGAGGTGAGGTGCTAGATTCCTCTACTTGTCTCTCAGAACCTGAAAGCACCAGGTTTTTGCTTGTTTGGGGGAGGATTTTTTTTTTCTTTAAGTCTTTACAAATATGTAGTTTTTCTGATTACAAAGTAGAATATGCTTATTATAAAATAACCAAACATTTCAGGATAATGTAACAGAAAGTTCCCTTAGATCCCATGCCCTGCTGCTGACAGTGTCATGGATAGTACAGGTTTCTCCAGACTCTTACTAACATAGATTATTGTAAAGAAATTGAAACTATACTATATTTGCTCTTATCACTCAAAAATAACAATTTAAATAGTTTTCAGAAGATGAACAGATTCAAAGGAAGAAAAAACGGACTCCCAGACTGATTACTGCTCCTGTGAGCCACCTGCCAGAAACCCTCCCTAAGGTCAGCATGAGAACCTGCCTCCCTCCGACCCTCACTTGGTCCTGCAGTGCCTCCCAGTGGGTGGGGAGGGCCCCTCAGAGAGCTGGCTGGGGCTCAGGAGAACTAAGTGCTTGTCTGACGTTGCCATTACCAAGCTGAGTCCCTGAACAGTCCCTTTGCCTTTATTGGCCTCACTTGTCTCACTTACAAATGGAGATACTGATGCCTACTTCCTTTCCTGATGGGGAAAGTTAAATGAGGCATTTTTTCCTAAAGGATCTAGCACAGCAGCTGGTGCACTAGGCATTTTAATACAAGGAAGGCCCATTTTCCCACCATTCTCCCTCCATGAGCTGAAAGTAACCAAACTCTATCCTAGGGGTATAACTAAAGCATGAAATAGTGTGTGATACTGGTTTTAATGTAAGGGAATGAGAGAACGGCTTTAAAATAAACTGAAGTATAAACAAGTGAGTTAGCTTAAGGAAAAATATTATGTAACATTATACAATTGGCTTGAGACTATGGAAAAAATCATTATGGTGGTAGCAGATGGATTGTAGAGACACCGTTTTTACAAACTCAGAGTTCTCTTTCCGGCGTCTCTAACGGCCAGGACCGGCCTCCTGCCTGAACAACAAGCAATTCCCTGGCTCTCCAGCCTGCCCTTCCGCCGTCAGACAGCCCGGATTCCCGGAAAGCTCTCTGCCTGGAGCAGACACCTGTCTTCCTGAAACCTCCCTGGAACCCAGCTGTCCACTTCAAAGCAGTGGCTGTAGGTCAGGCTGTGCGGAAGCTCAGGTCTCAGGGAAGAGCCCCTGAGGGTGAGGGGAGGGTAATCGGAGAAGGTCCCAGGTACCTGAGCTTTTATTTGTTCTCCATATTAGGGTGATAGATAATAAGATCATGTTTACCAAAAGGAGTTTGCTAAAAACAGAGTAATTTGCTATTACTATTCTGGAGAAACACTAAACAAACCTATTTCCTGTTTTATACAGACACTGAAAGATCACCTACCCTCTCCTTAGACATCACTTCGCTTCAGATGTGTTCACTGACTCTTCACACAGAGCCGATGGTCTTACTTTCATGCACTTACTGATAACAAGTTCTTTCTTTACCATTTATTCTTCAGGTAAGTGTGTATCTCAAAACGAAGGTTTAGTTTGATTATTTAAGACTATGCACTGGTGACCCAGTTTTGGAAAGAGGGGAGGAAGACTGCAGGGTGGCTTTGAGTCACTCACCTGGTCGCTGGCGGGGGGAGCTGGTGCATTGGAGCCCTGCCACCTGTGGCGCTGGGCCCCCCTGGCCATGATCACAGGGGAGGTTCGAGGACTGTCTAGTCCAGGGTCTGACAGCACCGAGTTCCGATTTATCAATGACTAAAGGAACAGAGGATTCCGTGAGAAGGAAACTCATCCAAAAGACTCTCAGAGCTCTGCTCACTTGGTGGTAACACTAATATGAATTCAGTACTAATTCTGTGCCTGACACTGTATTATGACTTGATTATATAGTACCTGACTTAGTTCTCACAACAGTCCTTTGAGGGAGATACAATTATTCTTCCTACTTTCACACAAGGACTCTTACACTTGGAGCAGATAGAAGACTTGCTGAAGGTCAAATAGCTACTAATGTGGTATTACCCGGCTTCAACCGGACAGTCTCACCCCACAGAAGGACTCACCGCATTAACCAAGCCCTCTGCACTAAGCTAGGATGCCTCCCAGATGTCGAACCCTCCAGATAACGTAGAGCATTTAGGACCCTCTGGCCCCGTCTTCATGTCTTTCCTGAATGCTGATCCTTTCACATTCATGCATCATCTTCCCCCAAGTGGACAGGAGCAGTAAGGAAAGGAAATTCCAACTCTTACTTAAAATTAGGTTTTAAACATATTTTAAATGACTGGTTCACATAATTAACCTGGTTAAGTATATACTTTGTGAACATCACTATGACTTCTTTCACTCACTTGTATTTTTATATGCAAGTCTATATTTGCAGTTTTCATATGCAAACTGAGAATACCTGGAAGAGGGACCTTTGGGGCCAAAGGGTGAAATCCTCTGACCACTCCAGGAAAGAAGTACAGAAAGATCTGAGAGAGAGAGGCAACACTGCTTCTGCTAGGCAGGGGCCACCGCATTCATCAAGAACAAGTTACTAGTATTTGCAGCCAGGCAGAAATGTGTTTTGGGCCAAGCTACCACGATTTTAGACTTCTGTCTCTGCTCCCTTACACTCAAAGGCTTGCTACAGATGACACACCTCTCTCTCCACCCTACTTTTTTGTTGTTTTTGTTAATCCTCACCTGAGGATATTTTTCCATTGATTTTTATTTTTTAATTTATTTATTTTTAAAAATATATATTTTATTGATTTTTTACAGAGAGGAAGGGAGAGGAAGAGAGAGCTAGAAACATCAATGAGAGAGAAACATCGACCAGCTGCCTCCTGCACACCCCCCACTGGGGATGTGCCCGCAACCAAGGCACATGCCCTTGACTGGAATTGAACACAGGACCATCCAATCTGCAGGCTGACGCTCTATCCACTGAGCCACATTGGCTAGGGCTCCATCATAGCACGGAGCTATGATGAAACAGAAGCCAGATTTGGTGATCTTTCATGTAGGATGATTTGAAATCCCTTTTTTGGAACCCAGAGCAGAGTGACTGAAGTCTTTAGACATGGAACTATCAAAGAGGCCCACAGACTACAGGCCAGAGGCCTTGGCAACCGCAGAAGGAACACTAAACCTACAGCTTTAAACAGGCTCGGCCCTGCTGGCACTCACCTCACTGAGGGAAGGGAAGCGTTCTGTCCCAGAGTCCAAGCCACTGTCCCCGTCCTGTGAATCCAGAGAAAGTCGGCCTGACAAGCAAACATAAGCAGGAGCTGTGGTTTGGGGAAAGGAGAACCATAACCGGGAACCTTGCACAGAGCAGACGGTGAACCTGCCACCTTCCTTTCTCTCCGTTTCCCTTTGTCTCCCTTATCTCATGATCCCTCCAGTCAGACGCTTTACAACTAGCTTTCACCTGTGCCCAGGCCATGTCACCTCCTGAAATAACACTCCCCAGCTCTCTCTCACAAGTCACCTCATCTGCATCTCTCTCTCTGGGTCCTGTTCATTTCCTCTTGCAACAATATTTCCTTTTTTGTTTCAGTTTTCTGACTTTGTCAGTCCTCACCTGAGGATATTTTTTACATTGATTTTTAAAATATACATATATATATATTTCTTTATTGATTTCAGACAGGAAGGAAGAGGGAGAGAGAACAGAAACATCAGTGATGAGAGAGAATCACTGATTGGCTGCCTCCTGCAGGCCCCTTACCGGGGATGGAGTCCGCAACCCGGGCATGTGCCCTTGGCCAGAATCGAACCGTGGACCCTTCAGTCCACAGCCCGGCGTTCTCTCCACTGAGCCACACTGGCTAGGGCTACGCTGATTTTTAAAGAGAGTGGAAGGGAAGAAGGGAGAGTAGGAGAGAGACATTGATGTGAGAGAGACACAGGATCAAACTTGCAACCCAGGTATGCGCTCTTGACTGGGAATCTAACCTGTGAACCTTTGGCTCTAACCACCGAGTAACACCGTCCTGGGTGCGACAGTATTTCTTAAGCTCCGAAGTGCCAGGTGCCGGTAGGCAAGGTGGCATCTGGGCCATCGTTCCAGTCTCTTACTGGCACTTATCTACTCAGTGCTACTAGCTCTGCATTCATTTCTACTGAGTGAATTGTATCCAATTTCTCTGTGCTCTGGCACTGCTTTTTCTCACGACACTATTTCCCAGAGGCAGATACTCTATGTTTTCTTTCCCTGAATCTGCCTCATGGAGAGAGAACAGAGACGAAAATGCCGGAGGAAAAGGGTGGTAGGGGCTTACCTTCTGTTGATCTCTGGTTGTTGTCACCATGGAGTGGAAGTATGTCCTAAAAAAGAAAGATTCAGAGGGTGGGCAAATTCTATTAACCTCTCTCCCTACTATTTCCTTCCTCCAACCAACCCTTCCCGTAGTCTCAGCAGACACTATCTGCTTATAGTTAGTGGCCTCTTTTGCTTTATTGCCTTAAAAATGCCCAGCAACAAGAGCTATTGCTTTATTTGTACAGTTTCAGGAGGATGGTGACCCCTAATGGCAGAAAGAGGACTTTACCACCAGAAACATGCTAAAAATTCGCTTCATTTGTAACCATGACATCAAGGCACCCACTGCCTTCGTTGGGCTACACACGGAAAGAACTTCCATCAGGTGGTACGGAACACTCCAGCAGATGCTGAGCACACATGCGAAAGGCCCATCTCTACAGATCTCTGAGGTGCTGGCCTCCGGCTGGCTGGCCCACCAATGTGGAGAGAATTATATTCATAGTGTTTCACTGTTTATAAAGCCCTCTTTTCTCTCTCTCAAGTAGTCTTTCAACAACTCTGATGTTGACCTCTCATGTTATAAACGAGGAAACAGAAGCCCAGCGATCTTAGGTAACTTGCCCAAACTACCCAACAGTGAGCTATAAAGCCAGGGTTGCATTCAGACTCGCACCTCACAGAGCACACGAGTACACAGGCAGTGACAGCAGCAACGCACAGGCCCCGTGCCGAGGACACACTCTAACTCTGACAACAACCCCGTCAGGCAGATCCTGTCTGATCTCCACCAAGGCTTCCAGAGATTAAGTAACTTGTCCAAGACTGGTGAGCACGGGCACTGGGATGTGAATCCAGATGGTATTAAGTCCAGACCCTGAGCTCCTATCAACCAACCATGTGACACTGAGAAGTCTTCAGAAAATAAAACAGCTTACATTTGATTAGCCTGTTTCCCAGACTTGTTGGATCTGATGTTCTAAAGGAGAAAGTGGATAATCCTCAAATAATTTCTATTGGCCTTGGCAAATGCTACTCTTGGAGATCCTCAAGTTTCTGGAAAGTTACTTCCTATGTACCCCAATAATTAAGGCCTGCAAGAGGTAAGACACTACCAATAGCAAACTCCCTACTAGAACAGATAAGGACCTGAGTCTCCTCTCTGGGATTTTCCACAAAGTAGTGTTAGCTGCTGCTATAAAAACCTCTCAACTGACTGGGAATACTTTCTTAGGCTGACTTTTATTTTTTATTATTATTTTAAAATATATTTTTATTGATTTCAGAGATGAAAGGAGATGGAGAGAGAGAGAGAAATATCAATGATAGAGAATCATCGATTGGCTGCCTCCTGCACACCCCATACTGGGGATGGAGCCTGCAACCCAGGCATGGGCCCTGACTGGAAATTGAACCGTGACCTCCTACTTCATAGGTCAATGCTCAGCCACTGAGCCACCCTGGCCGGGCATCTTAGGCTGACTTTTAAAAGTACTTGTATTTATTTGAGAAGATCTGAGAAATAAGTGTTGGAAAAGTTACCAGATGAATGCTGAGTGAAGGTGATGTAGAAATATATATGTCACTATGAGGCAATTACTCAAAAGGAGATGGGTAATTAGGAGACTAAAGCCAATAGTAATATTCCATATTTATTTCCATCATAACTACAAGCTCTTAGCTTCTGCTCTCGCTTTCTTACTAACCCCCCCAGGCCTCCTGCAGGGTGCCCACCCTAGAGCTCTGCCTACTATCACTCACCACTAAGCCACCCGTCTCCTGCTGGATCTTCAGCTGCAACTGAGTGACTCGCCGCCGGGCAGCTTCAATCTGCTCTTCCAGCAGGCTGGTGGGGTTCCGGCTATACACCTCATAGATACTCTGGGGGGGGGCAGGGAGGAGGGGAAAAGGCAGATGGGGTGGTTAGTAGAGAACGGACAACTCACCAGTGAGAGGAACAGGCAGTTATTCCCAAACAAAGAGAGAGAGAGAGCGATCTTTGTGTTCTAGTGGACACACACTATTTCACAATCAATTAGGAGCAGAAAAAGTATAAATGGTGAGAGACAGAACACAAGACACCTGGAGAAAGATGACACAGCACAAAGGCCTGTCCTAATCTGACCCATTCTTCAAAGGCTGGCTTAAGTCCCACACCCTAAGAGAGGTGCTCTTTGACTACTGCACTACTCGTGGGAGATGCAACTGTCCAGGTCAGCACACGAAAAGGTGCCAAAGAGGAAACACACAGTGAAAAGCACCGGCAGTGAGAGGAAGAAGCTTGGACGAGGGAGCCATCGCTCTTCACAGCCCCGCAGCTGGGAAGCAGTCTGACACCGATCTACACTCCTCACAGCACACAGGAAGTGCAGCTCACACGTGTACAGCTGGGGCTGTGCAGTCAGTCAGGGGGTCCTGGCTTTGAATTCTGGTACCATCACTTACTAGCTGTGTAGACCTGGGCAAGCTTTCATCTGTCCTCATTGATAAAAGTACCTGCAAATGACAGTACCTGCCTCTTGGGAGAGCTGAGCTTTAAGGTGTGAATAAGATTATGCATGTAAAGTGCTTAGCAGATTTTCTGGTGCTTAATAATATTACTGAATATGGCCAGCTATTATCATCTATCTATCATCTATCTATAATATCTATCTATCTATCTATCTATCTATCTATCTATGCCTAAGCGACCCTTATGACCTAACAGACCTACCAACGGGAACTAGTCCACCAGTTGCTATGACGCACACTGACCAACAGGGAGCAGACATTCAATGCAGGAGCTGCCCTCTGGCGGTTAGTGCGCTCCCACAGCCAACCTCCCTCGGTCCCTCCCCCTGTGCTTCCTTGTAGCAGGCCCCAGCTGGCCTGGCCTGATCAGGACTGGATGAGACAGCTCTGATCACTGGCCAGGCCTAAGGACCCCTTCCATGCACAAATTTCATGCACCGGGCCTCTAGTTTCACTATATAATAAAATACTCAGTAAAGCTGGCTGGTTAAATAATTAAATAAAAACTGCATGCACATATTCTCAAGCTCATATGGGCCTTGCTGCTATCTGCCAATCCTTTTTACAAGTTCCTCACACTTGCTTTTTCCATCTTCTCCAGGCCTAGCAAGCCTCCAACCCTCTCCCTAGTCTCAGCAGACAATATCATCTGGTAAGAACTTTTCAACTATTTCACTTCAAAACATTTGCAGCCATTCCTCCTTCTCCCAGAATCTTTTACAAAGTTAATGCCTCCAACTGCCCAGGCTCTTCTTAGGCACAAGTCACATGTCTGCAAAGTTTTCTCTTTCCAGTGGCTCCTTCTCAAGTCCAGTCTTAAACCACTACAATAAGACCCTTTCCATCAACTCAAATTATTGTTATTTTTAATATACTTTTATTGACTTTTAGAGAGAAAGGAAGGGAGAGGATAAGGGAGGGAGGGAGGGAGGGAGGGAGGGAGGGAGGGAGGGAGGGAGGGAGGGAGAGAGAGAGAGAGAGAGAGAGAGAGAGAGAGAGACAGACAGAGAGAGAAGCATTGATGCGAGAGAGAAATATTGATCAGTTGCTTTCTGTACACACTCCGAGTGGGGATTGAACTGCAACCTGGGTATGTGCCCTAACCAGGAATCAAATCGATGACCTTTCGGTGCATGGGACAACACTCCACTAACTGAGCTACATCGGCCAGGGCTCAACTCTTGATTAATCTTCAAGCCACTGCCTCAGGTTTTTCTCCCTTCTTTCATGGCCACATATTTCAAAACAGGAGTTTACACTTACCCCCCGATGGCTTTGCCTTCCAGTCACTCCTCAATCTAGTTCCTCCCTAGTATCTCAAACAGCTACAGAACAAAATGACCTAATTACCAAATCCAATGGTCTCTTCTAGGTCCTTCTCAAAATGCTGCCCTCTTTTGATTTCCTAACTCTACACTATATCTTGGGTCGCCTCACACTCTTTCCCCAACTATATCTTTATCCCTGCCTCATCTCTGAAATCTAGGTGAGCCTTCAGTCCCACAAACATTTATAAGGCCCAATATATGCCAGGTCCGGTGCCAGCTGTGCAGGAGGTACATTCAAATGTAGAAATAGAGGCAAGGTCCTGTCTTTAAGAACTTAGTCCAAGCCCTAGCCAGTGTTGCTAAGAGGTTAGAGTGCCTGCCCATGCACCAAATGATATTGGGTACATACCTGGGTTGCAGGTTTGATCCCTGGCTCTGGTTGGGGCATGTGCGTGGAGCAACCAATCTATGTGTCTCTCTCACATCAATGCTTCTCTCTCATATCAATGCTTCTCCCTCCCTCCCTCCCTCCCTCCCTCCCTCCCCCCCCCCTCCCTCTCTCTCCCTCTCTCTCTCTCTCTCTCTCTCTCTCTCTCTCTCTCTCTCTCTCTCCCCAGTGTCTCTCTTCTTCCCTTCCATACTCTCTGAAAAGCAATGGGGAAAGAATATCCTCGGGTGAGGATTAATAAGAAAGAAGGAAATATAACACAACTGGTGTGATGTTAGAGGTTGCTGCACTGTGCTACAGAGCACATAAGTTCCAAAATTCCATCCTCAGCTTTCTTCTCTCTGCATTGGTGCCCTGGGTGATATCATCTAATTTCCAACCTCAATTGCCACCTTAGTGCCGAGATACCCAAAGTCTATTTCAACCCAGGTCCAGCCCTGTTCCCTCTATATGTTCTGTGATAATCTTTTTATCTGAGTGTCCCAGGGGCACTTTAAACTCAGGACACCCAAAGCTGACCTTCATTTCTCTCCCCTATACTCTGCTCATCTCCCTGTCTCACTCTCTCAATGGCATCACCATCTACCCAGGCACCCAAATTCCAAGCTTTTATTCTCTCTTCTCCTTTACCCCTCCTTCCAACAATAAGTTCTACTGATATGACTTCTGTTATGTCTCCCATTGCCAGCCCCAACTTTCTGTTCTTATTTCTGTTCTTGTTAAACCTGTCATCATTTTTACCTATTTCAATAGCCTCCTCGATGATTCCTTATGCATAATCCACTTAACACACTAAGAACACGGATTTGAAGGTATGTTCACTCTCCTACCCAAAGATCCTTTGATCAATTCCTACTGTCACCAGAATAAGCTCTAAGCCCATCAAGGTCCAAAGTACTTTCCAGAGGGAAACAAAATGATTCCAACTCAAGCATCATCTCATGAGGACTTTTTCTCATCATTGTGTAATTAATTATTCCTTCTTTTGGGCTCCCACAGCTTTTAAAAATTTCACTAACATAAACATCACCACTTTAAAATGTACAATACAGTGGTTTTGAGCATATTCCCACAGTTGCTTCTTTCACTTAGTAAAATGTTTTCAGGGTTCTTCCATGTTAAGGGCAAGACTTTTTCATCTCTGTATACCATAGGGACTAAAACAATACTTTACATACAGTGGGCACTTACCGAAATTTGCTGAATTAAAATGAGGGGCTTGTTGCAAGCCACAGCTACTACAGGAACCTGGTGATTCCACTCCAGGTAAAGGAATCTTACTGCTCTCTCTGCACGTCACTTCCAGGCCTGAAAGTCTCTCTGCATCCCATTCACCAACACTGCCCCCTTCTCTGTCAGCCTGGCTGGGCATTCCCCTATGCACTCACCTTCCTTCTCCCTGACCCTTCCTTTCCCTGGAAACCATCAAGATCAATTCCAACTGACTCCGTTTTCCTCAATTCTAATGTTCCCTCATTTTAATCTAGTCCACTTGTCTCCTCACTTGTTTGTGTTTTGTCTACGTATTCACTATTCTATATATTATCTATGAGCTATTACCCTATTCACTCTATTGGTCACATTCTGCTTTAACAATTTCTTATTTCATTAAGGCAATGGCCAGTCTACCCTCAGCAAAGACCTTACCTGTAACTCCTTTTCCTCCTGCCTCAGCATATTCCTAAGGATCTGGGTGGCATGTTTTTGAAATTCAAGATCCTAAGAATGAAAAACATGACAGTAGTGAGAACAGGGTATCAGTTTGATTCTCTTCTACCAGCTGATTCGTGGGCAAGGAAAGCGATGAGAATTGAGCTTGTGTCATAAAAGTCTAACACTCGGAACCTTGCTAGAATTCAGTAAACATGTCATCTTATTTTGATTTTATCTGAACTTCCTAGAGACCTTGCTGTAATCACCTCTGGTATCAAACTGCTCTCTAAAGTCTCCCAGGCCTTGCTGGCTCAGCCTTCTTTCCAACCGGGAAATCCCATTCCCCATTCTGTCTGCATCTTGATCTCTTTTAACACCTCACACAGCTTCCCCTGGTCCTCGGGTTCTCTTCCTATGTGTGTGTTTCCTTTCCTGACTCTCTCCCCCTACAGACTGGGCTCCATATTTCATTCCTCCAAGCAGCCTGTTCTTCAGGAAGCCTTCCTTCTGCTCCTGTTCCACGCCCTCCCGACAATGACTGGCAGTGTTTAACAGGTGCCTCTGTCTGTGCTGCAGAGGTGGAAGGAGCACTCTCAAAGGGCCTCCTGAGTAGTCCACACATTTTGGAAAGGCACAGTATGTTGCTGTCTGATACAACTACACATGCATTTACATGGAAGAACATCTCTTTGGTTTGTCTCTGTTTATCAGCATATCATTCAATTTAACTTGCTTTCCCCCGACGAGAGCTATTTAGAGGGACAACAGAGTGAGGAGAAGAGAGGAGCAGGAGGACCATACCTGCAGAGGTTTGGGTGCTGTGATGCGCTGTGGAGGTGGCAGAGGTGGAGGAGGTGGTGGTGGAGGGATCACAGGGGGGACCTGGGGAGCTCCTGCTGGGTCTGGATCCTGCTGGAGCCCAGAGACGCCGACAGTTGAGGGTGAAGAACCCAGGAGGGTTAGTGCAACATAGGCACCCGCTGGAGGGACAGATACAAGAAGGCTTGCTCACATGGTCCTGTTCTGGACAGCAGACATTCAAACTACAAGGAAGGGCTTCTTTCCCTTTCTCTTCTCTTTACGCTTATAATTCTGTAGGAAAAGTTCTCACTTACCATGCCCCCGCCCCCTCTAATTCCTGCTTATCTACTCTGCATCAACACAAGTACCCTTTCTTTCCCTTTCTTCATGCAGAGACCTCAACCAAAATTCCACCCACATATACCTGATCTGCCTGATCAGTCTCGTTTCTTCCTTTGTCTCACCAAATTAAGTGGACAATATAAAGCCCCTAGTATATTGCCCGCTTGCTACATGGAAGGCACTCAAATTCTAGCCTTCTACCCTCCTCAAACTTCCCACACCCTTTAACTGTTTCCTTATGATTTGTTGCTTCTGTTTGATTACCTGGGAAGACTCGATTGTTGTATCTTCCTAGCTGCAAATGTATTTTTGCTTTCCTCACCAAAATAAACAAATGAGGAAGAATGTCTGTGAGTGAAAGCCAATGGTATTTGAGCGAGACCTGCTCTGAGTAAAACATGGTCTAAATGTGAGTACAGAGATGGGTGTAAAAATGCAGATGAAGATGTTAATGAGAGACTAGCAGTGTCTCCACCTGACATGATAATAGAAAAACGGTGGCAGTCTAAGTGGGCCATTCCACATCAAAATGAAAGATGTGGCCTCAGCTGCTGCCCACATCCACAAAGGAAGCCTCAGGGTCAACAGGACCTGCCCCCCCCCCCCCCCCCCCCCCCCCCGTTCCCTACTAGCTCAGCTGCTCCCCTCAATTCTTTAGTCATCAATTCTCTCCAACTCACATTTTATAAGCTTCACCACCTCCAGGTGTGAGCTGTTGGCCACCATGGTGCCGTTCACCTGTTGGGGGAACAAATGATACTGAGTAACGGAGACGGATACTAGGTGATCCCTGTACAAGTTCAAAACGCCACTCCTTTAGGGAGCTGTTTTCCAGGGTTCTTCAACCACCTCTGGTCACTTATTTACTCAAAATTCACATTATGAATTTATTCCTGTTCACATCTGCCATGTGTTTTGTCTTTCCAGCTAGTCTGTAAGTTTGCAAGGATAAGGCCTGCAGCTTCATTTGTTTGCTCATTCATTCATTTAAAAGTTTTAGTACATGTTTTTTCAACCATTAGCCTTGTACACGTGACAACTGACTTAACGGCTCTAGGACTCTATTCCAGAAGAAAGCGTTGCATGCACAGGGAAAATGACGGTAGTTTAGAACCGGCAAGGACCCAAGTGAGCATTGTATAAAGGACGTGAACAGCAAGCCAAGAATCTGAAGGCACTGGACCCTTCACTGGTCTCAACATCTCTCTCTCAATCTTGCTTTTGTCATTTGTGAAATGGAAATAATAAAACCTATCCTAGAAGCATGGCTGCTTTAAAGTCAAGAAGGGCTAGAATATATTAGCCCTCACCTTCTGTCACCATATGCTACTGTGCTCACTCTCATGGTACCACTCCCTGACTCCGTGGCTACCTACCAGCTGCTATTGAAATGGAAATGCGCAAAGGAACGGTCACTCACTTTGATGATGCGGTCCCCCTCCTTCACACCGGCTTTCATGGCTGCACCTCCTGTAAGAAGGAGGCCTGGTCAGCAGAGCCCAACATCCTGCAGATGTCACTGAGTGTACACCAAGGTCCCTGTTAGATCACTCCCTCCAAACCTCCTTCTCACATTTCTGTGTTAAATACCTCAAATGTGTACATCCTTCTTTGCTCCAGGGACAAAACCACTTTTAAACTAGAGTGGACTATACCAGGTCACATCTCTCTCTCTCTTTTAAAAATTCTCACCGGAGGACATGCTTAGAAAGAGGAAGGGAGAGAGAGAGACACTGATGTGACAGAGGAACACTGATTGGTTGCCTATCATTCCAACTGGAGGAACAAACCCACAACCCAGGTATGTGCCCTGACCGGAATAAAAAAACCAATAACCTTTAGTGCACAGGATGAAGCTCAACCAGCTGAGCATGTAGTCAACACTGAAATCTCTCATTAAGACTAGAAACATCTAGATGTGCTTTGTGAGAGTTTTGTTTTGGTCAGATAAATGCAACTTACAGATTTAATGATCATTTGGGGGCTGAGTTACAAAAAAATCTGATTTTTATGCTTCTCATTAATTTGCCTGTGTTAGTGTTCCTGTGCTGCCTGGATATAAACTCTAGGTCATTTAAACCCACATAGTGGTCAAAACCACTGCAGTCTTCAGCTGAATAATTTGAGAGCACATTCTGAGCTCTAGGCTTTCAATCACAATCTTCATCTGGTCCATTTGAAAGGAAGAAACTATTGCCTTGGTTGAATGTGGACCCATGCACCGAGGCCACTGGCTCAATTCTTGGTCAGGCACATGCCTGGGTGGCGGGTTTGGCCCCCAGAAAGGGGTGTGCGGGAGGCAGCCAATAGATGTTTCTCATTGATATTTCTATCTTTCTCTCCCTCTTCTTTCCTCTCTCTTTAAAAATCAATAAAATTATTTTTTTTAAAAGGAAGACAATAGAAATAGTTTTAAACAGTTCTTATAACAGAAAATAAAACAGTTATCATTATCGTCTTTGATGAACTCCCAAAGTATTTTTACAAATTTCTCAGAACTTATGAGCCACTGTTTAAAAACTCGTTTTAATCCTTTTCTCTGTATTTCTCTTAGGAATTATTACATTAGAAATTATAATTATTATAGTAAACTCATTTTCCCCACTTCTTAGTAACTCTTATTTGATCTTGGGATGCATCCAAGAACATTTAAATAAAGCACACACACTCTCCCCAGAGCCCGGCCCTTCCACCCGTTGTGGCCTGGCCCTCCGAAGTCTGGTGTCTGAGCTAGGTAAAAGAAAGCCATTTTGCCAGAACGTATGAAATGCAAGTCACTTCTAATAACTTAGTGATTAAAAAAGAACCCTTCAGAGTTAAGGAATCTATATATACTAGTATAAAAGGCTAATATGCTAAGTGTTCGACCTTCCAACCGGTCACTATGACATTCAGTGACCACCAGGGGGCAGACACTCAAGGCAGGAACTGCCGAGCTGCAGGGTCTTGGCAGTGGCAGTTCTTGGGTGACACACCCCGAAGCCAGAGAGGAAGGAGCCCGATTCATGGGGCCATACGATTCCACCTTCAGCTGTCGGTTACGTTGTTGCTGGGGCATTATTGGCCCCAAATCTGGTTGACTGCACACTTGTGTTTGCGTTCCACACCCTGCATGACAGCAACTTTGTAGAGTGCCCTCTCCACTCCGGGACCCCTCGGGGAATGTCGGAGAGCTGGTTTTGGCACGATCCCCACAGGCCAGGCCAAGGGACCCCACCTGGCAGAGGGACCCAACTCACTCTGTAGACACTGGGGCGTGTCAGTCCTGCCCCACTGGCCACCTTCTAATTACCTTCCTTTCAATGTGCATCGGGTCACTATTTAGAGCAGAAGTTCTCAGAGTTAAGCACAAGAATCACCGGGGGGATTTATTACAAAGCCTATTCCTTGGCCCCCTTGCCAGAAAGTGATTGAGTACTTCTGAGGCTGGGCCCAGGACTGCAGACTTCAACCTTTCTAGATTCTGATACAGGCAGAACAAAGATTACACTCTGAGAAAGAGTGAACCAGAGGAACCTAATATCTGAAAAAACAATGCTGGGTTACTCTTGTGATTTCAATGCCAATCCAAATTAAGTCTCTTTCTTTCTCATCCCCAAAATTACATACATGCACATATTTTCCAAAACTCCTATTCTGCTACAACCCATCCTTTTGATCTTTCCTCTCTGGGTCTGACTCTACTCAGGCCTAAGAGGAAGAAAAACTGAAGGAGTGCTGAATTCCTACTTCGCTGGAGGAGATCTCCAAACTTTCTGTAGCAAAGAGACCACAAAGGCAAAGTACAAGTTACTGGCAGTCCCACCAGCTGTTCACCCAGTCCAGGAACCTTGAGAGAACAAGGGAAGCAAAGAAAAAAGTATCTTTTCAGAGCTCTAGCCATGGATATGAAAAACAAACTTCCCACTGATAAGTCGCAATAATTGTTTATATTATTGCATGATTCATTTACCTCAGTTTGACGTCCTCTTTTTGTCTTTCCCATAAACAAATCCCAAATCTTTCCAAACTTACTTAGAGTGTATTTGCCTTCCCACTTAGCACTGTACTTAGGGTGACATGCTAGGCTGCTCCCTACCCCTTTCCTCGTATCTTCTTTAAACAATGTCCCTGGGCTCAAAACCACTTGCTACACTGCTGTCCGCCCCTCTTTGGGACACTTGCTTTACACTCTCCCCTGTGCTCATTTCCTGTTTTCTTCGGCCTGGGTCTCTAATAACAATGATTCTCTCACCTGACATATAAACAGGCTTTGAAATTTTTGAAGTTCTTTCATACCTAACTGGTTACTTGATTGACTTGCTTTACCATGTCCTCCCACTCTTCACTCCCCCATTCCTACCTGCCAGTGTGGTTTTCACTTCCATCTTTCAAACTACTCCTGAAATCCTATTTCATTTATTTGTTTTTGTTAATCCTCACCCAAGGATATTTTTTCCATTGATTTTTAGAGAGGGTAGAAGGGAGTAGGGAGGAGAGACAGAGAAAAAAAGAAACATCAATGTGTATCAACAGACACATCGATTGATTGCCTCCCGCATGCCACTGACAGGGACCAAGGATCAAACCTTCTGTGCCTGTGTGTGGGCCAACATTCTAACCACTGAACCACACCAGCCAAGGGCAAAATCCTATTTCTTTTTCTGGAACTGATTAAAAGAAAAATATACCTCCAACCACAAATTTCCAAACACCATTTCCTCTCCTGTGCTGTCCAATAGCCATCATACACATTTTGGCAATTTATTATTTAATGTTCATTGTATTTGCAAATACGTTTGGGCCAGTGTGTCTATCCCATTTTAACAGCTGCAGAGGTGATGGCCTGAGCACTGAGTAGGTGATGTGAAGGCGGGAAGGAAGGCAGGTCTTTGATTCTGACACAGTGTGAAGAGCTCCCTTGGAGGGCAGCTAGGCAGCTAACTGATGCTATTTTTTACACTTCCCAAGAGGGGAAGTGAGCACAGAGTGTCACCCCAGAAACTCTGCCTTGTGGCTTAACATTGTGGAGACCTTTGCAAATGCTCCCGGGGAACCAGTTCTAGATTAATTCAAATGCGCCCCCAAGGATGTCCCAGGCCCTCAGAGAAATGACACGAAAAGTTCTCCACCTTATGCAGCATTGTCACACACAGGGCGGCTGTGTGAGAACTGCCCACGGCAGGAGGGATGCAATACTCACCAGGCCGCACAGACTGTACCAGAACGATGCGGTCCCCACTGACGGTGAAGCCGAAGCCATGCTGGTCCTTCTGGATGATGACACAGCGCTGAACAAGACCTGGGAGTGGTAAGGAGAAAGAAGGGATTAGGTAGCACTGTCTGGGAAGATCAGTGCATACAAGCCTAGACCATCCCGGGAGAGCCCGGATTTTCTTCCTCCTGAAAGGCTTTCCAGACTAACCAGATTCCCAGACTTAGCCGGTCCAAATGCCATGGCAACGGCATGCCTCCCTCAGTGATCAATTCTGTACTCCGTACAAGAAATGGCCTTCTCTGAGATACCTGTCTCTCTGGTACAAACCTGCCTCTCTCTGTTTGGGTGAGACTGGTTGAAAAGAGGGCAGGGCCGACGCCAGGCTGAAGACTAACGTTACAGAGAAGCAATCCCGGGACCGAAGCCCAGTGAGACTGCAGGTTTTCTGTTGAATTACAGCCAGCGAACGCAGCAGGTGGCTCACCGGTGCCTGCTGACTGCAGAGCTGGACAACTCATGCAGGGTGACCAGGGCTGGCCCCTCGCCAAGTCCAGGGAAGAATAAATGTCAAGAGAAAACCTTTTTTCACGTGGACATCCATACACAAACATAGAAAATAAGAAAGGCTATAACTCCCACCTATCTTCATCCTGTGGGTGTGTATTAGGCTTCGTGCATGTGTGCAGGTAGGTTTCACTGCTTCTTGCAATGGATAAAGCATGGTTTCAGGTCCTGATTCTGTCCCTTACAAGCTTGTGCACTTGGGCAAGTTTCTTAACCCCTCTGAACCTCAGCTTCCTCATCTATAAAACAGGGAGAGTAAAATCTACTTTCTACAGTTGATATAAGGACTAAATTTATATGCACCATGTAATGATGCCTGGTACACAGTATGAGCGCATATGAAGGCTAAGTAGTTTTACACGGGGTATCGGAGCGGGGTAAACGGATTATCCTGTATGAGCACACACCTGTGTCAATGTGTTAATGCCCCACGAGGGAGGTTACCTGTTGCCTCAGAGGAGTCGGGCTGGCCGTGGTGGGAAGGGGACTTGCGTTCAGGTGCCGAATCTCCCAAAGACAGGCTGCTTAACCTGGAGAAGGATAATAAAAGCACATCAGTGAGGGGGGCAGGGAGGGACCACAGTAGTCGGGGGAAAAACCCTGTAAAAAGCTGCCCCACGTTTTGGGCACTAAGACACCAACCCTCTACCCGAAACCCACTCCACCTGGTAGGAGATTAGCCATGTCCACACCACTAGCAATACCACCTATTTGACATCCCAGGCTGCATGGCTAACATGACTCTTTAATACTCAGCAAGGTGAGAAGGGAAACAGCCCTTCCTGGAGTCCGGAGACAGAGAGACAACAGCAAGAACGAGATGTGCACAAATACACACACTTGTTGGGTCTTACCAGGCTGCAATGGGGCTGATGGAACAGAACAGAGCGCCAGAGAAAATGAATGCAAGAAAAAGGCAGGAAAAAATGAACAGCTAGTTAGTTTTAGGTAAAGGAAGGGGAGACGAGGGCAAGGACATGGGGAGTCACACACACAGCAGCTGCACAAGCACAGCAGAGGACTGCAGCGGTGGCGACAGAGAGGCTCCTCCCCACGCTAGTTTCATTTCTTCCTCTCTCCAGTGTCCCTGGGAGGGTAACTGGGTATTTGGTTCTCACCTGTTGGGTAACCAGCAACTTGTACATTTTTCTAGAAAGGAGGGTACAGAAATGACTCAAACCTTTGAAAATTCCATTCCTCTTGTGGGTACCACCGGAGAACAGGAATCTTATCTATTTGGTGGTAGAATTCTAACCCCACATTCAGCCCCATTCCCACCACCAGACTGAGGCAGCTTGCTTAGATACGATTAAGATCCTAAAATCTCAACGTACCAATCAGATCATCAAGCTAGAAGATTTATTGCTCGATCTCCTCTTTAATAGGATCCCTGCAGGAACATGAGAAGCTCAAATCAGTGCTATGCGTCTCCTTTCTAGAGAAGTGTCCAAACGGCCGGTTCCTAACCAACAGCTGCTGCCCCTCTGCAGGGGAGCTCCTATTTAATCGACAGCAAAGTGAAAGCAAAACCCTGGGAAGACTCTGACTGTTCACAATGGGTGACTGGTTAAATAAACTGCAGAACGTCCATGTGAGGACACAGTAGTCAGCCTACAAAAGAATGAGAGCTCATTATATACCATAAGGAATGGTCTCTAAGACACGCTGGTGAGTGAAAAAAGCAGGATGCAGAATTACATGGACAGAAAGAAAAAAAAAGTGGCTAAAGGAGAAAAAAAGGAAATTACTTTCTATATGTTGAAGTATCTGCTTATACATGCATCAAATACCTAAAATATTTCTGAAAGGGCACAAAGCAAGCCCTCTGTACACTGGCTGCCTCCGAGGAAGGAAAGCTGAGTGCCGGGGGCACAGGGATGGAGTTTTCATTTGTAACTTTTAAGTCCTGAACCATGTGAAGGTGCTGGCTATCCAAATAACAAATATAATTCAAATAAATAACTGAAATTTAGAAGGGGGGGGGTGTGTCTCCCTCCCTCACCATGGCACCCCTCTTACCTGGACAGCTGAGACTGCTTTTTACTGGCTGATCTTTGGATCAGAGAGAGAAGGACATCAAGGAAGAGGAGAGCGTGGGGCCCAGGAGAGAGCAACACAGGAAAGGAGAAAAAGAAAGAAAAAAAACAAGACAAGACATAAACTAGACAAGACACTGGAAATGGTTAGTTCCAAAGAAAAACCACAATCAAGCTTTCATGGACCCAGGTATGGAGATTGACCACAATGGAGTAGAGTGAGCTTACTAAAATGCAAATCTACCCCATCATTTTGCTGCTTAAAACCTTTTAGAGCTTCCCTATTACACTCCAGAGAAAGGCCATCTGTCTTCAAGCTAGGCCATTAGACCATGGCATCGAAGAGGCTGTCTGATGCCGGTCAGCCTCCCATGTCTGCCATAGCTCCCAGCCCTGTGCTTCCTGCAGCACGAATACCCAATGGAACTGCTTGTTTGTAGGCTTGTACAGATGAAGTTCTGGATCCATGAACAGGTCCCCCGTGTCAGGCCCCGTCCTATTCCTGGTCCTGCCTTTCACTGTTCTCCTTTCACTCGCTATGGCTTCTGGCTCTTGTCTTTGCCCAGTGTTCCTTCTCCCAGATGTCCTTCCTACTCTACTCCTCATTACCATATCTGTAAGCCAGATCAAGAAGGTAAACTTTCCGAAGCTACAGCTTCTGGCTTTTTTTTTTCTTTTTCAAATTACCCTGTCCATCACTCCTGATCACACTTCCCTCCTCTTCATTCCAGGTAAATAGTCAGCTTAGTTCATCATTTAATAAGTGTTCTAGAATATATGGATAATAACGAAACTTAATGTGATAATCATTTCACAATATACATAAGTCATGCTGTACATCTTAAACTTGTGCAATGCTGTATGTAAATTATATCTCAATAAAAATGGGGGGAAAGTTCTAGAATCTAGACTTATGCTATCTAACACAATAGCCACTAGGCACAGGTAGCTATTAAATTTAAATGTCAGTTTCTCAGTTGTATTAGCCACAGGTCAACTGCTTAGTAGCTACCGATGGCTAGTGACTACTGTGCTGCACAACAAGGATAAAACTGCCATCGCCACACATGCTCTGGCACCAGGGCTTGTAATTTCACGTAGTGCCAGCTGGTGGAGCTGGGTGGTATCAACCCCCTCAACAGAGGTTCCTGGGCTCTCTGTCCTTACCGCTGTCCCACCACAAATGTGTAAATGAGGAAAAGGTCTAGAATATCCTGTTCTGTGATAACAATGATTAAGCTCTTGTTACCTTCCAGGCCCTGTGCTAAACAGTCGACATACATTACCTCATTTAACCATCATAAGAGCCTGGTGAGGTAGGTAGTACATCCTTTTCCAGATAGGGGAAGAGACAGGTTAGAAAGTAGGGTTAAGGTGTACATGAAGGGTGCTCTCCTCCCAGGAGCACACCTATGCCTTTCCTTTCCCTTCTCCCCCCACCCCCATATATTACAATTAGCTTCCTCACTACTGAGCTCCAAGGACCCTCCTTTATTTCTATAACTTGTTTCCTAAGCCCATTTCTTCTGGGAGTTACTTTATCTACCTCTGTGATTACATAATAAATGTTCTCTAAAAAAAAAAAAAAAAGTGCAAAAAGTTGGTCTGACTTCAAGGTCTGTGCTCCTTAACAAAAAGTTATATGATCTGTGTCCATGTGTAGATCTAACTGGTCTTTATTAGAACTTCTCTCCTATTTTCTTTTTAACATACTTACATACATGCACATCATACATACACATAATTTGTGCACCTCACATGTGCACACACATACGTGACATACATGATATATAGAATACATGCAGCATATGTGTATATAGAGATACAGAACACAGATGATAGAGACAAAAAGCATACTATACAAAGACTGGCCTAGGAGCAGAGTAATATTCCCGAGTCCCTCCCCAAAGCCAGGAGCAGCAGTTAACCAGGAAGGAGCCACCCTGCCAAGACCTTAGATCCAGATAAAATCCACACTCACTGAACCATGACCCAGCCTTACTGCTCTGGTTTCCCTTATCTACCAGGGTGGAGCTTTAGGCAGCCTCCTGGCACCCTAACTCTCCAAAGATTTTGCCCCTGGGTAGAACTTTCCCTGTGCTCTGAGGCTCGCAAACAGCCTCCTGGGCCTGTATATCCCTACAGGAAAGAGGCCTGTTTGCAGACAATCCCTCCTAATAGATCATGACACAAATGCTCCCTGAGAGCTTATACTACTGAGTACAATCTCTCTATATAAAAGCCTAAGCAACCGAACAACCATTCACCCTGTCACTATGACCCACACTGACCAGGGGACAGATGCTCCATGCACAGCACCGGGCTCCCTCCTCTCTGGATTGGGCCTGCAGGGATCGACTGACACCCGATCTCCAACATCCCCCAAGGAGTCCTGGATTGCAAGAGGGCACAGGCCAGGCCAAGGACCCCCACCAGTGCACGAATCCATGCACCAGGCCTCTAGTTAGAAATGAAAGGACTCAGAAAACAGTTTCAATAAGATCCAGAGTGAAAACTTAACACTCTAGATGGAGTTATAGAAACAGGTTAGATTTAGGAATCCGGGAAATTCAGGCGCTAATTCCAGTTCTGTCTCTAATTCACTGGGGGCCCTTGACTTCCACTTGCATCAGCTCTCTCATCTGTAAAACAAGAGAAGACAAATGGAGGGGAAAAGCCTCTGGCAATGTGGCCAGAAAAGCTCGTATCTCCACTGGACGATGCTAGCTGAAGAGCAGTGCATGAGTCACTGGAGGCTCCAATCCGGGGATCCACCTCAGCAGGTTTGTGGTGTGGAATCTCTTCTTATTTTAACGAGCAGCCCAAGTGATTCCTTGTTCAGAGGGCCACAACTTTAGGGAACTCTCGAAATAAGTCCCTTCACTTCTGAGTCTATCATCAGTTTTCCCTATGAGACTTAAAACTCCTTGTGAATGAGGACAGAATCTTATTCATCCTTGTATCACCAGTCAAGTTCCAGCATAGTGACTGGTGCGTGGTAAGTGCCTGCTCCAAAAATGTTTGCTGAAGGAACATATATGTCCTTTCTTTCAGAGCTGATGTGAGGACCAAAGAGGCAATGTTTGTTAAATTCTCTGAAAGTATTGTGGGCCTGTGAAAGGAGAGACCTACTAAGGACACCTAGTGGCTAACTGGGCTCAAATTTAAAACAACAACAAAAAAACAACAACAAAAACAGAGCCCAGCAGCCATTTCTAAACAGGGGCCTCTCACACAGGCCACATTTCAAGGAAAAGCCTGCCCTCAACTGCCAGTCTACCTGCAGGTGATTTGGAGTCAACCCCTATAAAGCAGTTCCTGGAATTGTATTTCAACCAAAACACAGACTTTTCCTGACAAATCAGAGCCCCATCAGAATTTTCACTGAACAATCAGAACTACTCCATTCTGACCAATTACGACAGAGCTTTTCAGACCAATAGAACTGTGAAGATTCGGAAAGCTCACCTGCATGAGGACTGACCAGCCAGGGCCCGGCGGCAGGGACGTCTCTGTGTGTCAGCTCCCCTCCGGCTTGAGAAAGCACTCTTTCCCCTCCCACCAAAGCCGGTGCTTCCAGCGCAGAGCAGAGCAGGGGTCTACACACCAGCCGGGAGGTGGGGCAGACTGGAGCAGGGCAGGGCCACCTCGCCCCGGGGCCATTTCACAGTGTTTCATAACCGATCTGTGACATTACTGAGCTGTCCCACAGCTGTGCTGTATCACAGCTGAACTGTCTGCACTGAATGAAGTTTCCTTCTTCACTGTACCTGACAGTGAGAATTCATGTTGACATCGAACTGGCACCAATCACCATCGGTCAGCAGAGTACAGTCCCATGCAAATGCTTACTCCATGGGGGTGACCTATGCTCAACATGTGTTCGGGGTGGGACGAGAACGAGTGAGCAATAAGTAGAAAGCGGGGATGATCTAGGGAGGGCAGAGCCAGGAATGCTCTGCTCCTACGCCATGGAGGCCTCTTCGAGAAATAAAGTGTTCAGGGCTGTCTGACTGTCAGAGCAGACAACTCGGCAGCCAGGTGTGTGTGCAGGACGAAGAGGGAATTGGTATGTTAAGAGGGGTGGGTAGCCTGAGTTAACATTTAATATTTAGCCTGTGTGGTGTGGTTTGGCAAGCAGGACTTTAGGAATAAAACACAGTAAGTCCTCACATAAAGGACTTACTTATTGATAGTTTCTTGGGACTACAGTGAAATGATGTATAACTAAACCAATTTACCACAGACTGATCTAAATAAGAGCTAAGAGCTTATAGCATCTTATCAACATGGTAACCAAACCAATTAAATAACTTTATTCAAGGAACTGCTGTACAGGCTCAAGCTCAGTTCAGCCTCTTCCTGGATATGTCATCTCAGGCAAGCTGTCCAACCTCTCCAAGCCTAAATTTCTCAATGACAAATGTGTATAATCCCATTTTTCTCAAAAAGGGGGTTGGGAGGACCAAATCAGCTTCACCAATACCTCAAAGCGAAAATGTTCAAACTGAAAATCTATTTCCCCATCCCAAACCTGTTCTCCCATGCAAACATTTCCTTCTCAGGAAACAACGCAATGCTCATGCCAGAAATCTGAGTTATCGCTGACATCCCCCTCCTCTGATCTAATCAACGGCCAAGACCTGCTGATAACACTCGTTAATATTTCTGGAATTTACCTACATCTGCCTTCCCCATCACAGGCTAGTGTAAGACACCATTATCTCTTACCTACAACAACTAGTGTCACATCTACTCCAGCTTCCACTTTTCCAGAACCCATTCATTCTCTACACAAAGTCAGAGCGATCTTTTTAAGAAAAAATAAACCAGAACATACATCACCCTTTGGTGGTTTCCCACTGGCCTTGTATAAAGTTCCAAATCCTTAACATGGCCTAACAGGTCCTCTGTGACATCCTTATGCTTACTCTTTAGTCTCATTATCTCTTGCCATTCCCCTCCTTGCTCACCATATATCAACCCTAGAGGCCTTCTCTCCTTCCTTGGCCAAAG